TTTTTTTTTACGAAAAATCAAGCGCACTTACACATTAATGTAACCAAACATTTATAAAACCACTCGTGATATACAGGACCAATAAATTATTCACGGTAAATAATTTAACGTTTTTAACTTATAAATCAAACATTTTAAATTTTATACTAAATGAGTAATAGTTTTAGAAACACTTTTTAATGTTGTATTTGAAACTAAAATCTGTGATCAATATTTTTAAGTTTCGAGTTTAGAAAAAATAATTATTGGTAATAATAACAAGTGTGAATTATTTATTAACAAATCTAATTCTTATTTCAATACCGTAAAAACGAAATTACAATAGTGGAATCGCAGTCCACAGATATTTATAATATATTATCATACGCATATCTGTGATTGAAACATATTAATATCAGGACCTATAGAGTTATAAAAAAAAAAAAAAAATCGGAGAAATAATAATATACCAAAAATACCATTTACCTATTTAATACTTTTATTATAGGTAGGTGGGTAACAATAGGTAATAAAATGTCAAAAATCAAATAATTTATCAATAAATAAATAATCATTTTGTTTTAGTGAAACTATACTTATTGTCTCACAAAAAACATTATTATAACCAAACGTACCTAATATCTAATGTACCTACATATATTTTCAGGAAACGATCGATAACCCACGGACAACCACACGAAGAAAGAAGCCTACTGCCTTCATTATACCACCTTATACTTCGAACTATAAGTATCTGTGAAATAACGTTTATAGGTTATTTTCTTTAAATTATTGTTTGTTTATTTGATTACTTTGTTTATTACATTTTTTTTTTTATATATACCTTTGCTACTACAGGCGTACGTTAAACGAAGATTGAAATCATGAGTACCCACCCATATTATGTTGTTTATTTTTATTATTGTTTTTGTATTTGATTGATTTGTTTATTACATTTTTTTATGCCTTTGCTACTATAGTCTCAAACGTAAAAAGAAGATTGAAATCATGAATATAATATTATGTTGATTTTTTTTTATTTAATTAAGTTTTGCGTTACCTTATGCCTTTGTTATTTAACTTAGTTAAATATCTGAATAAAACATCTATTCGTGTATTGATTTTTGGAAATGTTTTGATTGATTCAGTTACTAAAATAATGCTAAAATGTAGGATTCATGAAGCCACAATATAGCTGCTACATAATATCGACGTTGACGTAAAAAAAAAACTTCATATGTGCTAAAACCTGATTTTTCAGGAAACACGAAATACGTTTAAAAAAAATCAAAAACTGTCAATGATTGACTAAAATAAATTTCAACCATAAAACTATTTGTCCTGGAAAAAATTGAACTAAACAACTTAATAGTTATGGATAATATTATATTGTATAAGTTGTCAATATTTCATCACATGAGAGGTTTTGTTAGTTAAAATTGTTTATCAAAATCACATAGGAAGTTATTCAACGTCACGCAGGAGGTTTTCAATGTTATATAGGAGGTATTTTACAAACGATTCAATGTAACACATGAGAGGTTTTGTTTTATATTTTTCACTAATTCTTTCATAAAGATAGCACATAGGAGATATTATCATATGATAGCTTATTTTTTTCTGATTTCAAGAATACCAAAACCTCAAAATCTATAGGTGGTTTTTTTAACGTCAACGATGCATACTTATAAATATAATACATATATATATATAGTTGAAGGTATGCAACAATAATTTTGAAACTACTATATTTGTTTACTTTATTTATTTACGAGTATTAACCATTTTAATCATTTTTTTTTTTTTTTTTTACTTTATTATAATCACTAATTGGACGGTGAAACTAAAAATTGAAAAATATTTTGCCCTCGTCCATTGACGAATTCACGGCTATAATCCCGGTCTCTACAGATACTATTCACAAATTTTCCTAACATAAACTGAGACCGCACGCCACTTTAATCACTCTACACTCTACAGGTACGGTAGAGGTGTAGAGTAGTGGCACTGATACCTACTGTTAATTTTGTTTTTACTGACCTGAGTACTAATGACCGAGCACTGACGGCTTTTAACTGGGTCGAAATTAATATGGAATTCATTAATCAGTAAAAACTTATTTTATAAGCCAATTATTATTATTATTATCATCATCTACTTGGGGCTACGTAGTAAAATATGCGTCGCGTGTTGAATTTCACCCGAAATGTTGAAAGCAGCGGAAACCCGGTGTAACACGGACACGCGGCCGCACGAATATCGTACAACGATAATAGACTTCGACGATATTTCAGTTTGCCGTTCATTTGAATAAATATTTTATTATTAGAACGGCGGACAGTGACCGCGCCGGCGCAACGAGCTTCCCCCTGTGCCCATTAGTCGTTATCTATGATAACGGACGCCCGCTTTCAGTGGCGGATGCGTTTTCCCGCGCCGCGCCAATGCCGTACCCTATTTGTCCGGCGTCCGTGTAAAATCAATGTCATTACGGTTGAAAATGGAACAGCGTGTTATTATTGCGCGGCCGTTATTCGGAATCATGAGTAGTGTCGAAAATACATTTTTTTCAAAATATTATTTTGTAACCGTGACGTATTTTCCATTTAACCGGAGTTTACGAAACCTTGAAAACCTACGCCGTGGAAAATTACGCGCCCGGGGATACATCCTCGCCTTCCTTACCCCCCGGATCCGGTACTTTTCTTTTCAAGGAATATTCCGTTTTACGGGCGGGCGGAAATGTCGTATATTTCGAAGAGAGGCCCCGGGTACGCGCCGCGGCCGCGGTCGTTTTGCCGGCGGCCGTCGTCGGAATAATTGGTACGGTTTGTACGAAATCGGCCGATCGGGACGAAACAATGAGAGCGAACTGCAGAAAACAATAATGGGAAAGAAAAAAAAAAATAATAAATAAACCGGCGGATGCTGCTCGGTACGATGATTGGGGGGGTGGAAATCGTTCGGCCTTTTAGCGAATACGAAAACGGACCGCGGGTACACACGATACGTCGGCCGGCCGTCGTCGGCGGGGAAAGGGAGGCACTGTACAAACGGACGGTACGGAGGGGGTTGTGGGGGCGGCGGAAGGGGGTAAAAGAATATATTATCGTGTGGGTACACGTCCACCTGTTGGTCGGGCCAGCCTCTGGGTGAACACGGCGCGCGCGCGCGCGCTGGCCCAACAATATTATTATTATTGTTGTTATTACGATTTACGGCGAGGACCGCGTCGTCGGCGACGGCGAGCGCATTGTGCCGCGCTCGTTCGGCCGACCGCGATCGATGTGCGTGCGCGCGCGCGACCGTCCGCCCGCCTCCTCGTTTCGACGCGGGAAACGCGTGCGCGTATTTCCGAACGCTAACTGCGGGCCGGTACGCGATCGTGCGCGCGGTGCTCGAACCCCGCTCGCGTGTGGCGCACGCCGTAGCCCGCGGAGATCCTGGCAAATATTAAGCGGTGGGGCACTTGAATATTTCGTAGCGCATAAAGCGCCCGACACAATTTTCCGACACGAAAACACCCGACCACGGGAATACTGCGTGCTTACCTACATAATGGTTCGTTACAAATATAATTTACAATCAAAGCCACGGAAAGAACATAATTCAGCCGATATTCTAAACATACCGCCGTTTTCCGGGTCAGTTTATCAGTAGGCTCAATATTCTCCGATTGAAAGTTTATAGCAAGTTATTTTTGCGAAATGGTAGATGTTATATTGTTATCATCGTCGGTACATGTGCGAAGTAGACACGCGGATTAATTTTAGATTGAATTATAGTAGATAAAATTATTTCCGAGATTATGTTTCAAGACGTAACATATTGTTTAATAATAATCAGTAATCGCTAGGTATCAATTTTACAAGATATATATATAATACAATTTATCAAGTATACACATTATTATTATTGAAAATAGGCGCGTATTGTTTTAGGAGGGGGTGGGGTGATGGGTGATGGTGGTGGTTGAAAAACATTCGAGGGATCTGAGGTCCCGTAAGCTCCTCCCACCAACCCCCCCCCCAACGATCACCGACTATGTTGCACTCCCGAGAAATACGGTTCGACGACGTTCGGCGTACTGGTAAATTTATGATTTGAAATGTACGTATCGGTTGTTACTGTTAAATATTTAATTCGTTACGGGACCTTCGTATGAATAATATCGTAATCTGTTTAATATTATTCCGAGAGTCGTTTGTTATTTGTTGTGCGTCCGGCGGGCCCCGGACCGTAATTCAAAAACTCGAAAGTACCGATGCATTTTACGCGAATGTGCGCACGACAAACATTTTTAACGGACATTGACTATACGTGCTCACACACAAACGACTTCGACGGATTCAACAACGCAAATGTTTTTTGAAAATTTTGAAAAACGAATAATCGCGTTACGAAATTATTACTACTATTACTATTGGGTCAACAGCGCTGTTGACAAATATCGACGTGAAAACGAGACGAGAAAAAATCCCGCGAGAAAAAGGCGTGAAAACAAAATATACAACAAGAACGGGCGGGTGATCGTCGACTCGTTATTCGGCGGCGGCGTGTTTAATTGTTCGCGACCTGTTGCGTGTGTACGGTATAATAAAGGCGTTCCGGAAAAAAAAAAAAAAAAAATGAGAAAAAGTCGTTTGGAAATCTCCAGGAATCGGGCGGTATTCGTTCGACGTTCTCCGGTAGGTTGCAATGACGTCCGAACGCGCCGAGAGCACTGGAGCGCGTAACGAAAAGCCAATAATAACGATAACGAACGATCGGATGATAAATACGACGGGGCGCGCGGCCCGGAGAGCGTAGGATTCCGGTGTGCGCGACCCGGCCGTGGTTCTCGCGGTCGGTCGCACAAAGCCGTCGGATACCTACGGCGCGGCGGCGCGCGGCGGGCGGCCAGGGCGGTGGGGGCCACTTTTTGTCGGATCGCGGAGGTTGCGCGTGCGCGCGCGTCCCCGGCGAGACCGCCGAATTCCGATCTGGTCGTCCGCGCCGCCGCCGCCGCCGCCGCCGCGTCACACGTATCGCGCCGGCCGGTCGACCACGACCGCAGTTCCGCAACACGTCGCGTCCCGTCCGCGTTTCTGCCGCCAAAGCCGCGAGACTTTTTCTGGCCGTCCGTCCGACCCGCGCGTGTTTTTCCGTGCCGTTCAAAGTGTTTTCTCGCGGTTGTTTGTTTTTCCGTCCCGCGTGTCGCTCAGCGTTACGTTTTCCGGGGACAAGTTCGCTCCTCCCCCCCAACCCCCCACCCCGAAACGAGGTACGGCCGACGCAGTATTATTAACCGCAAGTCCGGATACCCGAAGACATACGCCCTTACGTCTGGTAAGTCGTTTTTGAAAATCGCGTCTGATCCCCCGCACGCGCACCGCGCGACGAATCCCCGGTGTTTTTTTTTCATTACGCGCGTAGACGGCGCGTTTCGCGATCTGTACGACGGGCGATCGACCCGCGTATCGAGAAGTACGGAAACCCCCGACACACCCCCCCCCCCACCCGCAAGGCCGCGGCCGCGATAAACGGTAACGGGCACTACTGCTCGTGTACATTGTTCGGCTACCCGATAAACGCGGTCCGTCCCCGCCGCGGTGTATGACGGCTGCCGAAAAAACGAAACGCCGCCTCGTTAACGGAAAATAATAAAAACCGATAAAAATGCATTGATATTACGATTGCAACGTACGAGAGGAGAGCGGGTGCCCCCCCCCCGGCCACGGCCCCGAAAACAATACGGCGTAATACGACGCGGCGTTCATCGCGCGCGCTCGTTATTATTATTATTATTATTGTTATTCCGGCGATCAATCATTTTCGCTCTCCGTTATTGTCGTTAACGAAACGCCGGAATTTTCTCGGTTTACTGCCCACGCAGCGCGGTTTAACCGGGTACGCGGTGTAATAAACCGTTACGCAATAGCAAAAGTGCCTGTTACTCGTTACAATAACAATGACGCGTAACATACCGACCGGGTACGATGCGCGATGCGATTTATAATAATATTATTGTTATTGGATAGTTAAAACAAAAACGCGTGTCCCGCCGATTCAATTATCGCCGTCGCACTGTGCGGGACGCGAATACCCGCGGCCGCGCCGTACCCCGGTTTAAAAACAACGAAAAAAACCGCACCGACGGGACATGCCCCTCGGAGACGTTTTTCTTTTCTTTTTTTTTCTTTAATCGGCGGCGGATTTGATTTCGTCTCCCGGGGGAGACCGCTGTCTCCCCGGACGATATCGAACGCTACCCACCTACCCATCGTTACGCGGTTTTACGGCGTCCGCCGCTAACCCGCCCGGGCACCATAAAGCGATGGCCGTGACTATTGATGGCGCGACCGGGATTTCGGGCCGGGGGGGGAGGGGGAGAGAACGCTCTTTGCGAGGGCTTCGGCCCGCGCCAGAGTCCCCCGAGACGGTGGAGCGGTACACTTTCGCCGACACTCCGCGACGCTCTGTCGCCCTTTTTGTGCGAACAGTGCGTTGATGTTTACAGACGTTTTGTATCGCTTAATAAAATTCAAAAACGTAAACGTAAACGATTCGACAAGTACGAAAGGTCCGAAAGTAGAATTCATTTAACTTCGCCTCTCGGTGTGATATTGAGTTCGTTACAATGTAAAGTCAACGGTACAAAATAAGACGCGTGCGCATTGCGCACTGCCGTAAATAGCGTGACACTTGACAGTTTGTAAAATCAAATCCAAACGACGTTTTGAACTGCTCAAATTATTTATCAATCACATCGCCAGGCGTTCCGCCGACTTCGTAACGGACTGATAACAATTTGATCGTATTTACGAACCGAAACAAAACGTTGATAGCACAATAGAAACGAGCAAATACAACCACGAAAACTCCGAAATTTCGTTGTTGACAGAAACGAATAATACTTGATAACGCGATAACACGGTACGTAACCGCCGAATGATTACCGATAACATTACTCCGTGTATCTAAGAAGGTAATCGCCTGCAAACGATGACGTCTCGATTCGAGTCCGCGCGCGGTTTTTTTTTTTTTTTTGCTCATCGGGCGTTTTCGGTAGTCACGGTAGCCGAACCGACCCGGATCTTGAATCGATTTATTATTGTTTCTAATTTCTTAGTTTTACAACGGTTAATGTCCAATGGTCAACGAGTACCCCCTAAACGTCGCGTCTTATCGAAACAACACCCAAAAAAGCACAAAAATACGACGCGCGCGATCCGAGATTGAAAAACACGGTGTCGGGACAGACTTTGCCGTTTCGCCGGTCGGTGTAATTGTCCGTTACAGTATTACGGGACAGGCGATAAAGGGTCGCGGCCATCAATTAAACCGCGTTAGAATTCGCTCGTGAACCCGGCCGCGCCGGATTCTCGAAGGTCCGCCGAACCGTCAAAAGCCGTTTCCGATTGGTCGCCTGCCGTCGTCGGCGAAATCGTTTTCCGGTATTCACCTCCGTAATGTATTGCGTTTTGTCGAAAGTAATTCAATTAATTCCCGATCGTTTGCCGGCCGAGACGCGCGGCGAGCCCCCGAGGCTCAGTCTACCGCAGGTGTCCGAACGGAAAGCCTTTTTTCACGGTCCACCGGCCGCGCGCGTCCGACGATTTCTATCGGACGCGCGGCCGTTTGTTTTCCCGACGGCGGTTCTTTTACCGAGTTCGCTCGTCCGGTCCGGTTCCTGCGAGGAACCCCGGGGGTGGGAAATCTCGACGGTGGTATATTTTTGTTATGCGAAGAACGTCGGCGGGTCTCCCGTTATTCCTCGACGGGCGGGCATAACGAGTGAATAATAATAACAACAATAATAATAATGTACAAGGACAATAACGAACGCTTTGAGAATAATCCGGAGATGAATAATTCATCGGCGGGCCGCGTCGAGCGCGCGCGTCTCGGCCGGTGCGTGCACGAAATTCACCGACATTTTTAAAAACCGCAGCCGCGCGCGGTCGCCGCCGCCGCAGTACGGTTATGGCCGCGTAAAAGTCGAAGAGCACGCCCGCCGACCGACCGTGCGGGCACCCATATTATTACGATGACGATGATAATAATAACAATAATAATAATAATAATATCGTTTTCGTCCGGCTGTCATTATTTCGTTGCGCGTCTCCGATAACATTGCCCGTGTTAACCGCCGCGCGGCGTCCTCTCGGCCGTGTGTTCTAAATGACGGTCGTTGTTTTTGTTGTTTTTTTCGCGACAAACCGCGCACGTTCAAATGCCGCGGTTGATTCCCGTGTACCGCGATGACGTCGCGATCGTCGGCCCTTTCTCCCGTCCCCTCACGCCTCCCGCGTCCCGTTTAGACCGAACGCGCGAATCGCTCCGGCGGTGCACCCTGCGGTTGCCCATCGGTCGGACGATCTGTTTTGCGCCGCGTGCCTGCGCGCGCGCGCACTTGTACCGCGGTTGAGCGGTCCGACCGCAGGACCGGTCCACGGTGTTCCGCGGCCCCGGGCTGACATTCTAGCCGCCCTTCCGACGTCGGTCGACAGTGCGTTTTGTTATAACATTCGTAATATTTACGATTTGAAAATGATACATTTCGTAAATTTGCCGGGTTTTCCCATTTATTATGAAATCCCCGGGGAGAATCAAAAAATGACATACTTGACGTACCGCCCACAGTCAAATCTCCATTCGGTAAAAGGCGTACATTTGAAAATCGGAGCAAAATTTCCGGTAGAAAAGTCGTTAAAAAAAAAGTAAAAAAAATGAACATCGTTGTAAAACCCAATACATTCCTCGGCCCGTTCGGGAATCTAAAATTGACGTTCGCGCCCCCCGTGAACGCGAATTTTTCGCACGGACCGACAATAGTAATTGTTCGTATCGTCACTAATTTTAAAGTTTTACACGCTCGTGAATAATGGCCGGGGGGGGAGTGATGATAACAAACCAGTACTTAAAAAAAAAAAAAAATAATAATAATAATAATAATAATAATTTGTTTATTTACGAACGAGTGTCCTACCCGAAATCACCTCGTCGGCGGCGGCGACCGATTCAATCGGGGAACGACCCGATTGTCGCCGGTAAATAATGAATACAATAATAATAATAATAATAACAACAATAACAATAATATGTTATTATTTTCCCTTCGCAGAGTGCCTACCTGTAATAGAATATAATAGCAGTGGCGTTGACAAATCTCGAAAAGAGATACGCTTCTCGTCACGATCACGAACTCTCAATAGTATTGTCATTCTTTTTGTTGACGGCGGATCCGACTCGATTCCCGGAGACCGCTCGTTTTTTTTTTTATGACCCGTCCGCTCGTCGTTATTTCTCGCGTGTCCGATAAATGCGCGCCGTCCGAGCCGCCGTTTCGCCGCGGTCGGACTGTGTGTGTGTGTGTGTGTTTCATCACGCGCGTATAATTACGCGGACACCGGAAAAAAAATTCGGACTCCTCTGTATTTTGTCGAGGCGTGTTTAATGCGCAATCTACGTGTTACGTTAACCAACGACAATATTGTTGTAGCGTCGGACGCGTATCCGAATTATAGACGCGCGCGCCGTGCGTGTTGTTCCGATGGGTTCGTATGGGCTCGTATCATAATATTACGTTCATCGCGCACAAAACATTAACGAGTTGTAGCGTATTATTTCGATTATTTCGTGCGACCTTCGCCGTAGCAACACACGCGCTCGCGCGCATACGTACGCACGCACGCATACTCGGGCCCCCGTACGAATCGAATCGTTGACAGCGGTGCGCATTGTGCGCGTATAGGGTTGGTGCAGTGCGGTCTGGCGGTCTTTAGAGAAAAAAGACACTCGCGCGTATTATTATATTATTTTTCGTGCGTGTTGAATAATGTTTCTGGTACAAAAGTCCTTTTGTGAGGCGCGCCGTGAATCGTATTTATTATTATTATTATTATTATTATTATTATTGTACGACGACGACGACGACGACGTAGGTATCCCCGAGGACAGAGAGAGAGTTGACCGGAGCGGAGTATGGCTGGCTCGGAGGACAATAAGAAATCCCCGGGACCCTTATATTCTCCGTATTCGTCGTTCGCTCGTTATATTCGGGCGGAACACCTTGTTCCCAGATGTTTTGGCACACACACACACACACACACACACACACACACACATACACACACACATGCGGGGATTTCGACGGCGGATATATAAATTCCTTTGTTGCGGGACGGCTGCGGCGGCTGCCCGGGCCTACCCTACGTACGTGCATCACTCCTCGCCCCGATCGTCAAAGTCTCTGCGCGTACGCGGAGAAAAATCGCGTTTTATTGCCGACGTGTTGGTTTCTTTCGCGCTTCCCTAAATATCCGGCGGCGGTCGGCCGCCATAGAATCGAGTGGTTCCAAACCGCCGCCGGAGGGCAGGCAATTGGGCCGGACGAACGAAAAACCAGACGGATCCGATGTAAAAACTACGCGCAAAATTCTATTCGAATTCCATTTGCGCGTTTATTCTTAAACAGCGGTTCCCGAATTTTCGTATTCCACGTCCACATTGTGAAATCGTTCGCCTCCCACTCCTCTTTTAACAACACGATGAACAAAACAAAAAAAAAAAAAAAGATCAGAACTATACCCCACCGCCCATATCATCTCTACCTAATTACGGCGTAATCTTTATCGATAACCAATCGTCAGTCATCACATAGTAATTTTTAATTTTTCCTCTATGCATTGGAAAAAATACACGGGTTTACTTCTTGATAACTGCTTGCGCCTCCCCAGCAATTCGTTCATGCCCTCCCCTGTTTTTTACGGAAACGCCGTTTTAAAGGTTTTATGTCGCGTTGAAATCCGTTTGTTTTGAAGGTTTACGACTGTGTATTCGTAGGCGTAATAATATGATGGGAAATGCAATTCGCACGGTCAAACGATAATAAAACACGGCGACCGGCGACGTGGTTTACGGCGTCGACCGCGATCATTTTCGGATTGTGTTCGCTCGCAAATGTCTGGACGGTTTACGGCGTCTACGGCGTACGCACGTCCCGTCGATCCGAGGAACACGCGGATCGACTGTGCGCGTTGCCGTCCGTCGGCCGCGTCCAGTTCGACCGTAACGCCGCCGTATGGGTGAATACCGCCGGCGAACGTCGTGTTATTTATTATAATTTACGCGTGGCGGAGGCGTTGTTGTTGCCGCCGCTGCCGTTGCGATCGAACCCGAATCGCGTTAAAAAGGATTGACGCCAACGCGGCACGCAACCGTGTCGGCGGCGGTTCCGTTTGAAATCAATCGAATCGTCTGATACGTGTGTGCGCGCCCCCGTACACGTATACGCGTCAGTATATTGTATTACTTGAACGGACGTGTGTTACGTTCTCTGTTATTGAACGGAAAAACGAAAAAAATCCGCTGAGCACGAAAAACGCGCGAGTCTCGGAATAAAAACCTCCGTGGGGGGGGGAGAGGGGAACAAAGAAAAAATCTCCCCCGACCCTATTATCGATAAACGGGCACGGCGTAGCCAGGACTTTTTTTTTTTTTCGTGGAGGTGGGATCCGAACATACAATTTATCACCAACTGCACCAATAATTGTACAGACAATTTGATTTTTTGGCGAGGAGCTTAAATTTACGGTGGGGTGGGGGAGAGACGTGGTCTAAACGCCATTACCTCCTGGCTACGTGCCTGTCGATAAACGTATACAGTGTGATTTTTTTATCATGAACTAGCAATTATCTCAGAGGACTTTAAGTGAATTTGATTTCTGTTTTTTCTAATCATTATGGAACCGTTTTTAAGTTTTGTTTAAAAACCATTTTTAATTGTTTACCCCTACTCCATATACGTCATAGACAGACAATTTATTACTCTTCCCTACTCCCCTGGTCGAAACTTTAAACTGTTATAACTCATAAACGCTAAATTTGTTACGTCAGTGTTACGCATATCAAAATTTCTAGAAAAATAATCTCTATTCAAATCTGCGTTCGAAAGTAAGGGGGATTCCTATTTGAAAATCAAAAGTATGCATTTATTTGTGGTATATGGAGTAGGGGTGAAAAATTAAAAATGGTTTTAAAATAAAGCCCAAACGATTCCACGGTGATTAGAAAAAACAGAAATCAAATTCACTTAAAACCCTCTGAGATAATTGCTGGTTCATGATAAAAAAAATCACCATGTATATATTCAATCGACAATTAATGTATTGGTGTTTATTTACCAAAAAAAAAAAACGTTTCGACCAACAAGACTCGCAGATATAAGAATCATTTTCGATAATCGGCAGACAGTGAAATATTTACGATTCCAACAGTTCAAAAACGCTAAATAATATAATCAGCAGATACCGTTTAGTATTTTATTCGTTTACTGCTGTGTTGATGATTTATTTTTGTGGAATTCGAGAATTTTCAAAAATGACGGGTTGTGAATTTTTTTCCGAATACTTATAGCAATGGTTTGGTTCCCTGTATGTTTAAATATCCGCTCAACAATGTTCTTATATCAACGAATTGTATTTGTATTTATTTAATATTATCCAGACGGGTCACTAGTCCAAAAGCAATTTTAATGCAATTCGTATAAAATCTTATATAGTGTACAATTGAAATTTTTACTGTCTACTAAACAAATCTACAGTTTTATTCCGGTATCGATGATGCTTTGCATGACTTTTGCATGAATGCTTGACGTTTAAAAGTAAAAGGAAAATCGCCGTCAGCTTATGATCCCGTGATTCAACCCATAAAAGATGGCTGACACAGGATTCTTGGTATTCTTGGACGAAAATTTATTTTTTTTTTTCTGTCTTTCAATGGGATTACCTCGGCGACACGGGCGAAAAAAACAATTATTATCGTTTAATTTGGTTGTCGCAGACAAGAGAACACATTTTTATTAAATGTAAATTACCGGGCAACAATGATTTACTGTAATACGAGGTCGGAGACGCGTTAAATTGAATTTCTTTTATTGATTTCTGTTTTTGAAAGGATTAATCTCGGCATATACCGAGCGATTCAGCTGTAATAATATATAAAGTATATAATACCACTTAAATACCGACTACGCGTTTCTATTAAATTCACTAAAAGATCTAAATCATAGCTACGCATTAGCCAGTTCAGTCAGTTTCATATTGTAGCCGGGAAAGAATGTTAAAAAAAAAAAAATCAAACGAGATATTTTCTCGATACCGACAACGCGGATGTTTAATGACAGTGTTAATAGTTTCCATTAAAAAAAACGTTATTAAACGGTGTGAATAAATTATACTGGAAGGCACCTACGTATATACCCATAGATATATTATATTTAAGTTGAGTTTTTTTTTTTTTTTTATTCATATACTATATTTAGTACCGTATTATATTATAATTATTAATGAATTAAAAACCGTAATCTGTTCAGAAAGTGTGTTTAAAAAAATAATAAACTTATGTTTTACGTAACTTAATTACTGTAAGAACGGGAGTAGTATAAAATAGCCTGTTCTAAATCAGGATCAAGGACGAAGCTTAATTTGAGCAATCATTCAGCATTGTTAAGGTTGGCGATGACGTCATCATAAGGATAGCAAATAAAATACTATTCTGAGCTTATGACATTTTATTGATTATTTACAAAAATTTGACATTGTGTTCATATAATTAATATTTATTTTTTATAAAACATTATATTTTTTCAAATGGTTATATATTCACGTGTATATACAATGTGACTCGTGTTATACAACGTGACTTTTAACGATTTATCAGGCGGCAACGGGGTATATATACTTGAGGCCTTTGCATAACTAATTACAGTTATCCACGACTATATCTATTAGTAAGACCTACCCAAGGCGACTTACAATAGCTCTGTAACTCGTGGTACCATAAACACGTGACTATGTCATGCAACGACGAAACTATGCCGGAATTGAGCGGATCGAAGCCGTTTCAGCCCGATTCCGTCGATTCAGAGAAACGCAAACGGCAAGTACAACGACCGTTGGCTGCGAAAAAGACCAAAGTGGAGAAAACGATGACTACACCAGTGAAGGATATATACCGACTGGTATTGACGAACTACGAATTAGACATGGAGGAGGAGGACGATTTGATTCAGTTGATAGAGTTGACAGTTCCCCAGACCGACAATGGGAATTACACGGCTATGCATCTGATTCTGATGCTTCTATTTTGTCTACGGGCACATTTGCCAGTGGTTACAATAGTGGCGAAATTGAAGACTCTGAGTATGGAATCTCTGTTGGCAGACAACGGAGCCGACGAACAAGTTTGGACTGTGATAGAGAGTCAATTGCCGAGGCTGAGAAAGAGTTTGAAGACGTCGTGAGACAAATTACTCGTGTCTCATAAAGTAAACACGTTCACGGTAGACGCAGATATGTTAGCCTTGTCGTTTTTCGCCTAGATCTGTCGGCGTTGATGCAGTGTTGCAAGAACTTACAATGCTCAAGAGCATCGATAAGTCCCATTTGCTTGGGCGCAGATATGTCCAATGTGGACGTGCTCGTCATGGGCCGCAATAATGTATCAATGCCCGGGAGGCCGTCGTTTAATGTTTCGCGTAAGTTTCTACAACACTGCATCAACGCCGACAGATCTAGGCGGCAAAACGACAAGGCTAACATATCTGTGTCTACCGTGAACGTGTTCACTATATGAGACACGAGCAATTTGTCCCACGACGTCTTCAAACTCTTCCTCAGCCTCGGCAATTGACTCTCTATCACAGTCCAAACTTGTTCGTCGGCTCCGTTGTCTGCCAACAGAGATTCCATACTCAGAGTCTTCAATTTCGCCACTATTGTAACCACTGGCAAATGTGTCCGTAGACAAAATAGAAGCATCAGAATCAGATGCATAGCCGTGTAATTCCCATTGTCGGTCTGGGGAACTGTCAACTCTATCAACTGAATCAAATCGTCCTCCTCCTCCATGTCTAATTCGTAGTTCGTCAATACCAGTCAGTATATATCCTTCACTGGTGTAGTCATTGTTTTCTCTACTTTGGTCTTTTTCGCAGCCAACGGTCGTTGTACTTGCCGTTTGCGTTTCCCCGAATCGACGGAATCGGGCTGAAACGGCTTCGATCCGCTCAATTCCGGCATAGTTTCGTCGTTGCACGACATATTCATGTGTTTATAAAGGTATTTCCCTTGAATTTATTATAAATATAAAACTTTATCAATGTAAACCATTAACTAAAACTTTGTCTTGGCTATTCGAAATCTCTAGTTTGTCACCGACAACATTATATTATATACTCCGAAATACGCCCGGCAAAATTAGAATATCTGCAGTTGGAGGATTTTGTTTCGTTTTTGCAGAGACGTTATGCACTTTGCAGTATCCTCCTCCGGTTTTAAAGTTCCTATTATACGATCGCGTTAAAATTTATAATACACTCTAGCGTTATCGAAAGTACAGGAGTTATTTACGCGAAACAAAAATATTATTATTTACATGCTTTTTATCAAAGGGGGGACGTGTATTGACGTGTTTCGAGTTTGTATGTTGGAAACGAGTAACGTCGAACAGGTGCGTTTACAAAAAAATATTTCTGGGAGTGAGAAGTTAAGATTTTAGACTTTCATACTCTTGTAACAAAGAAGTTTGCATACTATTTCAATTGTATGATATTATTTATTTTTCTTAAAAATGTCAATATTTTATACCATTCATTTTTAACTAAATGATACCGTAATTCATCATATCATTATTGCGACGATAATGCGCGGACTACGAAATATCGCCGTGTCAGTTATAATTTCACCCACTATATCTACAGAAATAGAATTGAAATAAAACCGAAATCGTATTTTATCATCTTCCTCGTTGGCGGAAACCACTTTTGAGACTATTAAAAATCTACACTTTCGTCGTGGTCTATGTGAAATTCTATGGTTCGTACCCATCCCCCCACCCATTGTGCACGTTGCACACGCACCTATCGCCGAACACCTATCGGAGTCTATGAACGTTCGGCGTCTGTGATAATTTATCACCGAATAATGATTAATGCCGATCGTACGTAACCTAAAAAAAAAAAAAAAAAAACTGTTAGGTATTCGTGTGTCGATCGGCGTTAATTATTAATCAAATACGCGAGTTCAAAAGCCGTCGTCATAATATTGTTCCGCATACCGCGATGCCCGTGTATAATACAACGCCGTGTAGTTTTTTGTACGGGAGCGAAAACCGCGTGCGGCGTGACGTGTACGTGCGCACAGTCCAACGGTCGTAAAAAACAAAATTAACACAATAAATCACAGTCGCGCGCGTGAAAAAGGAGAAAACGTTTTGTTCGAAAGAAATCGGTTGGTTTTTTTTATTTATTTTTTCATTTTTAACACATACGTACACACACACACACGACGACTACGCGGATATTCCGCGAGCGACGGAAAACAAATCGCTGTAAACAACGTGCAAAAAATCGCGGCGCGCGATATTTCCACGTCGGAACGTACAAATAAAAGCGGCTTGATGCGAAAACGTCGGGGGATTCGGTCCGTGTAACGTGTAATAATATTATGTCCCCCGCTACAATGCGAATGCGTACTGCGGTTCTATGCCGATCTCGACGGAACAAAGGGGACGAAGATCGGCCGTCCGCTCGTTATCCCGAAATTATTACGCTCCTAAACGGTAAACGGCTCGGCCGACGCCGGATTTTCGTGTCGAAAATCGAATAATTTTTTTTTTTTTTTTTTTTTTATAAACAGTAAATTGTCGGGCGACAACGTTTAACTGTGATTGGCACGAGGGCGAAAACGAGGACGCGCGTTGAATATCTTTTTTTCGAGTCCCGAAAACGCCCGGGCTATACTTACAGTAATATTGTAGGCGTTTCGATTCCCACCGGAACATACCGTATCTACCGCAACTAAATTTTGTTCCATTCCAAAAATCGATATGTAAAAAGAAAGTCGGTACTGCTCTCGGGTAAGTCGTTGTTGCCGTCGGTGGATAGTTGAGAACGTAATTGATTTTATATTATGCCGATTCAAATCGAAAAACGAATTTTAGCCGTGCACCGTTGGTTTACCCTTGTTGTCAAAGTAACCCAGAAATCAGCGAAAATAAATAAATAACAGTACCCTATACCTGGGAAGATGATCAAGTGTTTTGAAAAAAAAAAAGAAAAACATACAAAAAGCGTCGGAAATTTCGAAAATAAGTAATTATATGGTGATAACGTGTTCAAATCTTTAAACGCCGCATCTTTTAGGGTACGACGTGTGAAAAAAATCGGAGCATTTTTACTAACCAAAAAAGTGTTTTCCGATAAAAAAAAATAAAAAGGCGTACACAAAACGCTGATGGGTGTGACTCTGGTTTTGGATGAAAATTGAACGGGAGAATATATATTACTCTGTATATACAGAGCAATGTAATATAATGTATAGATAAATCGTTGCCAACGAAAACCGACTCTGAGCTGCAGAGTTATATTATAGTCGTACTTTTTTTCATTGGTGTCAACGTCGCAGAAATCGAGTGAAATTATACCGAATGCGCCGACTAGACGAGAAATTCTATTATTTTTTTTTTTTATGTTCCTATAAAATCGTCGGTTGAAGCGAGATTTCTCCGGCAGAAAAGTCGTTTACAGACGTACGCACGAAACGAAAAAACTAAATAATTATGACACAAATTGTACCTAGTAAATAAACGCCCGGCATCTGAAACACGCCGCTTATAGTAAAACTATAATAGCTAATAGCTTCCTCGGAATCTAAAAAAAAAAAAAGAAAAAACACCAAACGTAACGACGAACGAAATCCGAAATGGGTCGCAGTCGTTACGTGTTTTTTCGGTTTTTGTTTATTTTCGTTTTAACGATCCGCGCTCGCTGCACCGTAATAATTTAATGTGTAACGTGTGAATCATAGGCGATGTTATTAACGTATAATTTATGAACGATCGAATATCGTATATATAATTAATGTAAATATATTTGTATTTTTTTTATTTTTTATTATCGTACCTATTTCCCCCCAACCCCACCACCACCACTTCGTCTAAAACGCGGCGGCGTTTAATATTTATAAATTACAACGTGTTTATTTGATGGAATTCGGGGGGGGGAGGGGAGGGGAGGCCGTTTTCTTCGGTCAGACAAAACCGTGTGTACGCCATATTATAATACCATCGCGTATATATGGTGTTTTTGTTTTTTATAACTACGCGTATACGACCTATGTAAATTATTATTAGTATTTATCTTTACAGCGCCGCCGCCGCCGCCGCGAGCTATCAATCGCCGTGAACTCGCGCACAATCGGCACCTCGTCGTACGAAACGCCCGCCGAATCACCTTTTCCCCGTCTATCGCTGTTCGTGTGTACGGTGAAAAAATGAAAAAAATAAAAATAAAAAAAAAAAACCACTCGGAACATTATGACGCGAGCTCGGGTGTCGGTCCCGGGAACTGTACACGCGACGCGCGCGCTGTCCTATACTAGAAGTCGGGAACGTTTTCGCGTAAATGAGCCATTAAAAAAAAAAAAAAAAAAAAAAAACATACCATATAGTATAAACACTCTAGCCCATTCTAAACATAGATTTTTACAGCGAAAACCTTATTCAGCTAGATCGACTTCAAACAATTTATAGACTATACTATCCGTCGTGTGTAGGCATATTAATAATATAATACACAAAAATAAGGACATCTCCGATCTCTGAACCGGTTAATTCGACGTTGAAACTACCAGCATGCATCATATCATCAAAAAACCTACTTTGGAACGCCACTGCTGCGCCGTATGCCGCGGTCGTATGCGACCACAATACCCTTTGTGCCCGGGGCCGTACTCGGGCCGGTTTTCTCTGGTCATTTTTAAGGGTCCGGGACCCATAAAATTTCCCGTCGAAAATCGGGCCTGACCGTAGACGAATAAACGGGCCCGGGATATTTAGTTTGCCCGGGGGCAAAGTCGAGTGCGGCCCCGACAGGGAAATCCCGCGTCCGTTTTCGAAAATCCTTCGGTTTCCCACAGTATACCCGACCTGCCGTTGCGTTACTATTTCGCTGCGCCATCGTCGTGCAAGGTGACGGTGCAGGTTGCGTATCATTCGCCACTGCAGTGACGATGACGGACATTTCCGAACGGTTTACAATGTCGCCGGATTCCGATAGTTTCGAATTAACCGTCGAACGTTAATTGACATATGTCCGTTTTTTTTTTCTGTTCCGGTAACCGAATACGTTTTTAATCGCTCGAATAGTCTGCGATAGCGACTTATCCGTTGTGCCCGTCGCTATTATAGTGTTTACAGACTGCAGTCTATTCGCGAATTCGGAATATTACAAAACGCCTAACATTGTTGGTCTTCTGCTCCGAGTAAGTCAGTTTCACCCCGCGGGTTTTAGTCGGAATGACGCGGGAAACGGGAAAACTTAATCTATACCCGCTGGGTCCGAACTCGGTTAAGGTCTGTAGATACGGCTCCCGGTTTCGGTTTTCTTCCACACAGTGTCCACACACACAATAGCGTATTATAATTGTATTATTATTATTATTACGTACGGTCGAAACTCGCTAAACTTGTCGTGTCTGTTACCGTTTATATACCGCGCACGGGAATAACACGACGGTACGTATTACCATACGATTACCGCGATTACCATATTATAATAATTCGTCGGCGATGCGATTTTTTTTTTTTTTTTTTGTAACTTCCCGCGGCGGCATTGATGAAACGCTATGGTATCGTCGCCGCTCCGCCGTTTTTTTTTTGTTTTTTTTTTTATTATTATCATCGTTATTGTACAATCGGTTTGAATACAATATTGTTGTGGGAAAAAAAAAATGGTAATAAAATTTTAAATGAAAATTCGTGCTGACCGCGCGGTATAGATAAATAATACAATAGCCTATAATAATAATAATAATATTATTATAGGTATTTAATTTTCGAACCTGTGCGCGACTGCAGTTCGATACCATGATATCATCACCGCACGCGAGTGGCGGAACGGAGCACGGTTATCGCCTTCGCGTGATTTTCCGCCAGACGATTTGTTTTCAAACACTTCCCATACGACGCGTTAGATACGTCAAAACGCGCACGGGACGCTCGAATCAAACGTGTTTCAGAGTATTTCATTTATGATTTGAAAATAATACGTTTCGTAAATTTTCCCGTTTCGCTTGCGTTTTTTTACCGTTTATTACGAAAACTTCTTAAAAAATCAAACCATGACCTCCTTTGAGTGACCCCCCCCCCCTCCCCACTCATATTTTCTTTCAGAGAAGGTTCCACGCTTGAAAATCGGAGCAAGGTTTCTGGTAGAAAAGTTGTTCACTTAGTTTATTAACTATAGTTTCCTCCCCCCCCCCGTGTTCAAGCCGAAACGGGATGAAGGGACGGAGGGGGGAATGACAAAGACGCTAGTCGGCGTTCTTAATACGCGAAAACCGATTTATTCGCGTCGATTTGCGGGCTGCCGGCCGGCGGTAATATTTGAAAAAAAAAAATAAAAAAATATATCAAACATCAAATTTTATTTCGTTTGGCACGGGACAGCCGGCTGTCTTAAAGACCGCGGTAGTACAGCGTCTAATAATAATAATAATTCCCGTGTCGCGGGGAGGACCGAAAATCACGGATAGAAAAAATAACAAAATCGATCCGACGCGCGTCGTATTGCCGTCGAACTTACGAGGCGCGCGCGGTTGTATTATAAACGCGCGCTCTCGACGGTTGTTGTTTGCATTAGACGCTCGTTAGCCGGTCCTTGTTCTTCCCGTACGGCAACAGTAATAATAATAATAATAATAATATTCGTCTCTCGTTCGCTCGCCCGTGCAGTCTAGTTAAGGGAACATGTGAGGATTGATAAATTATAGGTCTGCTCACGTCGGACAACCGGTTTTTTTTTTTTTCTTCGGCTCCCCGGGCGGTTTTCGATCCGACCCGGGCCGCGTCGGGGGAGACGGAGAACGGCGGCGACGCAGACACCGGGTACCTTACGGTATTAGGCGCCCGTCGCACCGGACCCCGTATTCGAGATCACGGGGAACGTTCGCGCGACGCGTTCACACGCCGCCGTTTTTTCGGTGTTTTTTTTTTTTTTTTTTTTCCCAGCGTGAAAGTCGGACGCGGCGTGCAGCCGATTATTACGCCGATCGGCACAAACGATCCCCGGAGCGTCATAATCAGGCCCGTCGCGCTGGGACGCGAGCGAGCCACGGTGTCGCCAAAAGCCGCTGAACTGGCGGCGAAACGAAATTGACAATCGTCGAAAAATGACCGGCATCGAAATGTCCCGCTCTGAGGCGGAAAACACCGTGCGGCGGGCCCGATTATAACATCGTTACTGTTTAGTCAAGTATTATTTCGTATTGCGCTCTGGCGCTGCACGAAACCGCCTTAATAACAGTATAATAAAATATTATTCGTCGCCCGAGCAGGTATTATAATATTATACGCGTTTACGGACTCTATTATTTTTTTATTTTTATTTTTTTATTAGAATACTGTTTCGTGCACACACGTTTACCGCGACGATCGCATCGTTAAACGAGAAAACTAGAGATGTTTTTTTTTTTTTTCTTCCGTCGACCCGGGTAGGCGGGTAGGCGGTTATTTTCAACGGCAATTAATAACGTGTTATTTTCATATACGATTATCGTGATCGGAAAGTATACGCGTACGGTTTTTTTTATTATACACGGCGATAGCGTACAATAATATTTTATGCTCGTCCGCGGCGTTTGTTAAGGAGGTTTAATGCGTGTCCACGACGGACACGCGTTTCAGTCTACTTCGGACGCCCGGTTTAAAATACGATTTTGCCTACTGTGTGTCCGCGAGAAAATTAACGATAACAAGATGTATTGCGTCCAAAAAACATAATAACAAACGAAATATTAAATGAAAACGGTTTAACGATATTTAATACGATCAAATCATCGTGTAGGTTTTTCTTACAAACTATTAAATCCTGTCTACTTAAATACACCGACTGTGAGTGTAAGAGTGACCGGGTAAAGTCTAAAAACCGAGGGTGAGGTTTGTAATATTTGTTCGTGGAGTTTTTTTTTTTTATATGAGAAGGGAGAGTGAACACACGTGCATATTTACCGTAAAACGGTTTCTGGTGGAAAAATCGTAGAAATCATGCGGCGTTTCGTTTACCTACTATTCAACGATTTATGCGAATCGAAATTAAGAAATTATGATTAGGTTTTTTTCACAACAAAAACGAAATTTGCCTGTTTTTATGAGTGGTGTTATTTATATTAGAATGTTTTTCAACTATGAGTTATTTGTGTCGACATATCATTCAAAATGAAGAACGTTTCTTAAAAAAATTAAAAACCAAATAATTTTCGGTGGTGAATTGAAAGAAGTTTTTAAAAACAGTGGGAAACGAGATTCAAAGGGAATATGTCAAAAACCGACTTTGGCGATGCACTAAACCGTGCGGTGTCAAACATTTCACTAAATACGCGAAAAAAAAAAATAATAAAAAAATACTCTTATTACATTTGAGGATAAAAGCGCAATAGGATAAGACGATTTTTATTTGTAGATGTTAAACAGACATAAAATTACGGTGGGTAACACATCGGACGAGTTGAATTACCGTTGGTAATATCATACAATTTCTTTTTTTTCTTCTTATATATGTATACAGTTAATGTATAGATTGTTTTTATTTTTAAAACTTCTTTAACCCAAATATTTGTCATACCTTCTCCGCGAGCTCCCCAGATTGAAGAAGGTAGACGAATTGCGTGAAAACTGTGCTTTGTTAAACGTCTGTAACTCCGATTAAAACGAAATCGAATTTAAAACGAAAAAATTGAATGCGTCCCGAGACGCCGTTCAAACGCTACTTCTTCCGGTTACATTTCCGCGTATTTTTTTACGGTCTAAAGTTACGCAGCCGTAGGCGATAATGAACGATCATTACCACGGGCGACCACCCGAACCTTTTTTTCTCATCCTCTCCGCAGAGTGTTAACAACAATGTAATCGCGTCTATTCGCCGATCGCGGTCGTAACAATTACCGTAATAATACGACGCGTACCTGCACGACGGACCCGCGCGTTTTACGGCTGTACCGGGTGTGTTATTACGACGTTGTTGTGTTCCGGACAATATATTCCAGAGAGAACCCGATACCCTTTGATGGGCGAACCGTTCCTTTCCTCCGTCGACAAACCCCACCCACCTCCCGCCGACGAAACTCTTCGCGTTCGTCGGCGCTGCGCGGTCCGGTCGCGTTATTTAAAACCGGAAATTATTACGACGACGACAATTAAACCGCCGCGGTCCGCTTTGTGCGTGTGTGTTTTTTTATTTTTTTTTTTTATCCGTTTCCCCCGCATAATAATGAGGCTTTACGCGGTATATTAATTTCTTTCTGTTTCGATCTCTCTCTCTCTCTCTTTCCGTGACTCTTTTTCCCCGGTCGTTGCAATTATAACAAACGAGATAAACGGTTCGCGGGATGCGCATTACCGCGCCGCCGTGTTGTTATTGTTGCGTCGGCGGTGCGCCAACAATGTTGTTATTGTAAAAATACGTATTCAAAGCGCGCGATTACCCGGTGTTTGTCAAGACGGTTTTTCGGGGGCCCTCCCCCCTTCCCGGGGGGAGGGGGGATTGAAAAAAGGACGCTCGAGTGTGTTCCGTACGGTTGGGTTGGATTCGGTTACGAGCCAATCGATCGGCCCGAATGTTCAAAGTCCCGGGATTTATACGGAGCGGAAAGGCCGCCGTTTCTGCGCCCCCTCCCTCCCCTCCCCCCGATTAGATTCTTAAATAACCCCAAAAGCCGATTGTGCGCAAACGACCGTTAAAACTCGCGTAGACCGTCCGAGTTATATTTCAAGGGGGAGGGGTAACGGAAATTGCGAAAACTGTTGAAAATCATTAACTGCTATAAACGCGCGGCCGAATTACCGTTCTAAATGGCTCAAGGCGTTGCGATTAAATTATCATGAGGTTTATGCATTTTAAATAAAAAAAAAAAAAGTTAACGTAATATTAAAACGATTTTAATTATATTAGTTTTCAGTGCAACGCGTGTGATAAAGTATACGTACCGCCTTTTTGACCGAATAAATAAAAAGAGATAACAATTACACGGGATAATGAATTATAAAAATAAACACTTCAGTTATTGACTTCTTCTCTGGAACCGACGGACGGTTACTAATGGTTAATAAAGAATAATGTATTGAATCGATTGTACCCGCGAATCCGCCGGATAAAGAGTTGCCGGTGTTGTCACTCGTCTCGTATTTCAAAGGCACTCCTGTTTTTTTTTTTTTTTTCTTTTTATAGTCAATTTGTCTAACGACGCAATACTGCCCGTTATTTCTTAAAATAATAAAAGAGTACACTGTAGTATCGAGATTTTTAAAATCTCTGGGTCTGCGACTTGTACGGTTGTCCGTGTACAAAGTACGAGACGCGTATACTGTAGGTATATATTTCATTCGAGTACTTTCTATTTTGTGAGAAAATATCAAAACTTGTATTATTGTGCGCGTGTAGTTTTATCTTTATTTATAATCTTTTTCCCCGTTTATCGCCTCTTTTATTTCTTTTATTCGTTAATGACGTCGGCCGTACGTTTAAATCATTAGTGTGTACATTTTACCGTGTAATTATATTTATTTCGTTTACAACGTACGTATTATTATTATTGTTTTCGATTTAATATACAGAATAAAATATCGATTTTTTCCTTCGGCGGCCGGGTGAAAAATATAAACGAATATACTGCGCGGTGTGTATCGTTGTGTCTAATCGCGTACACCTCTGTACGCCGTATCACGCATACCGCGTCATTACGATAAGGAATACTCGCGGTCGATTGGGGCGTGGTGGGGGGGGTGGGGTGGCGTCGAATAATAATAATAATAATAATATCGGCGGACCGTACGGCGCGCCCTGCAGTTTCGACACCGCACAGCGTCTTACTAATCGTAACGATATTTGTCGTGTGCGTGCGAAAATCTCGTTACGCCGCGTCACGCGCGAATCGAATTATTACGCGAGTTCGACGGGCGGTAAAATCGACGATTTCTCGGTCGGCCGAACCGCGCGTACGCGGACGGACGGACGGACGGACGGACGTCAATCCCGGGGAACAATAATTAGCGGCGAGATTGCCGAGCGCGGGCAATATGGCGGTCGGGCGCCGGTCGCGTGTTTGCGGACGCTGTACGGCCCTCGGCCCGGCGCCGAAACGCGCGGTACGTTTCCCCGGCCGTTTTACGAAACGTCCGCGACGCGCCCCGAGAAAGTCGGTGTCCCGTGCGCGAACCCGAGAAACATACGGGCTTACTCCGCGCGATCGGCGGGCGGGCGACTGTTTTCGGACGAGACGAGTCGGGAAGGCGTACGGGATGCATAGAGATGGGAATTCAATGTGTGATCCGTGCGCGACGATTAATTTTTTTCTATTAACGAATTAGAGACCGCGGGGTCCGGTGGCTGTACATTTTTCGAAAGGCCGTACAATTTACGATTTGAATGAAAATAATGCGTTTCGCGAGCGGTCCCGTGATTTTTCCCGTTCATTAGTAAAACGGCTGAGAAAATAAAAAAAAACGAACTCCGTGAAATACCGCCGTGTCCCAGTCGGATTTCCTTTCGGAAAAAAGCGCTGCACATTCGAAAATCGGATCGAAATTTACGGCGGAAAAATTGTCCACAGAAAAAATTAACGAACATCATTGCGAAACCAACACAAACCCGGCGTCCAGCGGTAGAGAAACCCCGGCGGGTCGCGTGTTCGCGCATACCGCTCGCAGAGCCCGACCGGGACGGGATCCGTAAATGCGCGTCCGGGTCGCCGGGAACATTAACTTCTGCGGTAGTTTCGGGTGGCCCACGTCGTATAATAATACGCCCATCGTTGTGGACTGAGCAGCTGCGCCGGCAAACTCCGTTCCAAATGATTTTTTTTTTTTTTTTTTTTTTTTTTTTTAACCGTTGCGTAAATATCACGAGGACCGTTTCTAAAAAAAAAAAAAATACAAATTATTATCAAACGTTAAATACTATTACTTACCTACCGGCGTGTACTTTGTTCTCGTTACGTTATAAAAGACACTGCGCGCGGTGTGACGGTATATTAGACAATAAACGATAATTTTCAAAGAACGTTTGACGGGAGATTAGGTAGATATATACGTTTTTTCGACGTGAAATCGTTGGTTTTTTTTTTTTTTTTTTTTTCCTAAACGTTTGTCTACATTATAATGTACAGGGTGATCCGTGTACATTTACGGCGGCCCGGTGGATTCGATTTCGTTTTCCTTTTCGTCGGATCGGTTTTCAAACTATTTATTTATTAAAAACCGTTTTCGATCTCGTATATCCACTGTTACCCCGCTTACGTACCTTAAATGAGTATATGTGAGTAGGTTTTCGAATAGGTACGTGTTTAAACACAGATTCGAATAGAGAATAATATTTATCTGTATACGCATTTCGATATGCATACCTAACGCTAATGTATCGGATTTACCGGTTATGAGTTATATACGCGCTTAGAGTTCGCACCGGATGAGTACAGGGCAGGGTTATCAATATATATTATCTACAAATGGATATGATGAAGTTCATTACCGTTTCCTTTAACTGAAACGTTAATCGTTATCGTTTAATTTACCTGATTACAATAATTAACACAGTTTTTACATTGAACATATTATTATAGTCAAGACCGAAAACATTACCGGGAAAAAAAAAAACAAAACAAAAAACACGAGGTATTTAAAAATAAATTTTAGACCCCAAAATCTGTTGTATGACCCCCGTTAACTTTTCGAATATAATAAAGTAAAAATTATTTCCAACAAATTCGACGATTGACGAACGATAACAGCCGGATCATATTTAATTCTCGACAAAATAGTTCACAATATTCACACTTGTTCTGAATATACTTGTAGATGTCATGTTTGTTCATAAAATCCTATTCCTATTATGCCGGAAAATGTAAGCGTGGGTTTAAATCGGGACTGCGGGGCTGACCATATTAAGCGCATCGATGAAATCGGGAATCGGTAAGTTCCCACACGAAACAGTAAGTGGATGTAGATGCATGTAGATGAATGTAGATATCTTTTTTGGGCATTTTAATGCGTTATTTGTCGCAAAAAGTCGGAATAGTATTTACGCGGGGATTACGAAATTAAAATTTTAAAAAAATACGCTCTCAAATTCCGCGCCAACTCGAGCAGTAATAATAATACAGCGGTTTTAAAGATAAAAACGTCACCCTCGGAATAATGTTTTTTTTCTTAATTAACTGTTTTTTTTTCTTTTATGTGGCGTAGTTTTATTGGTGAAAAACAAAACTAAATAAATATTAAATTAACAAAATAACGAGGACCAGGGCAGATATATTTACAATATACTAAAAAATAATAATAATAAATAATAATAAAGAAGCTCATTATATATTTAAAGGCGAACGTTGATTTGAATGTAATCACCTATAAATTGGATTTATATCTTGGAAATACAAAAAAAGATTAAACGGATTAGCTCTCCCCAGCAGACGCAGAGATGTGTCCTCGGTTACGGAGTTAATGGAGTTGTACAGACGTATTGTCGTTGGGAAAACGGCGGTCGGATTTTTCACACTGTGAATTTCGAATACTTTACACGTTATACAAAGTACGAGTTTTCATATTAATATAACGCGTATCAAGTATTATACTATTATAAATTTTGAATTTCGTTGATCATTAGGCGTATTCGTGATAACAAATCCTTTGACAAACCCGCCGGAAAACTCAATAATTCGCATGCAATCTCCAGCGGAATTCATGCGGGAAAACGGCACAATCGCTTGCATGCTGCCTGCAGCTATACGTAGCCGGACGTAATAAACGAAGGTCTAAATGAAGTTTTAAACAGAGGTCTTAATGAAGTTTTAAACGAACGTCTAAATGAAATTCTAATGCGCGGAACCGAATGCGCCGTCCAGTAGCGCGCACAGAGGTAGGTTATGGGGTCACCTCCCCCCACCCCCATCGGCATTTCTTTCTTCACTGCATTTTTTTAAATCAAGTTTTACATTCAACAACATACTATCTTAAACCGCAGAATAAAATAAAATTTTATTTCATCAAAAATCATTTATCCTGCTGTAATAATAATGATGTACTGATAATATATAATAAACTTACCGCCAAAATTATTTTATTTTAAAGATACGGCTTCCTGGTCTTACTGGTTTCCTATACGTGACACTGATAAACTAAAGCCGTATTGAGTATCTGTGAAGTATTTGTATCGTGAAAGTAAAAATGTTTGTATTTTAGATTCTGAGTGGAGCAAAGAATCGTATAGTTTTACAGAGATTTTTATTTTTTTTTAATTATAAAGTTTTTCTTACGTTTATTATCTAAACTTAGATATATAATAACATTTTTTTTTTAACGTTTATATATCAGATGATATAGGTATTAGTGAGATTATTTGGTTTTAAAATTTACATAATACAAATATAAACAATTTTTTTTTCTTATATACAATTTGTTACAATAATTTATCAATCTACAAATAAATATTTACAATAAGGAATGCTAAAAAATTAGGACGTCGTGGGGATGACCACGTTTGAGTCTGTGACTGTTGTGGCGGACACTTAACCCGAAATATACAAATGATAAAAAGAGACAAAAAATAAACAGGTTATATTAGACAGCTCCATATTTTAATTCGATTTCATTTATCACATTCAATGTTTTAACTTCAGTTTCGTTGATGGCAATTTTGGGAAGTTTTTTCACGGTCAAAGCCAAACTTTTAAAATATAAATCAATATTATCTTATTTTTCTGTATTTAAAACTTGCTGATTTTGTTCTTCAATTAATTTTATAATCTTGCTCCTTTCTTCAGCCCTTTTTGTTAAAATATCTGATAGCTTTTCTTTTTTAAAACGTTTGATTACGAAAGAATCTTCACCCTGCAGCGGTGAGACTGAACTACTTTTAGCATCATCGATATCCTCATCTTCATTATCTGTGTGTGGCCTGATGTTGCACGTAGAACTAAAATAATAATAATAATGAGAATGTTTAAATGAGTGCTATATTTATTTAAACCTTAAATAACTTTACCTTCGTTCGTTTTCAACCATATTTAAAAATGATACACGGTCTACTAAAGGCTAGACTTTTTCGCTGAACTTGCGGACCTCGTGCCGAGTTTTCTTTTGCGTCTATTATGCGTATCTCTTATGCGTTTCCATTTCTTTTTACATTCATCGACTGAAAAATAAAACTGACACGTTAAAAAAATAACAACTATCCTGTATGTAACGTACAAAATAAATTCTAATAAATAATGTAATTTCAAGTTCAAATCACAAGAAAATGCGATTTTTAAATGCAGAAATCAGGCCGTGCGCACAAGGTCATTCAATATCTAGAATATAAACATTGTGACCGTCATTTCAGTATTCATCATGCTTTTCATTACGGTGGATCGACTTGAGATACTTTTAGAAAATCCAATTATAAGAAATTATAGCGACGCTGACGCTCGCCGCTCGTACCTAGTCAATATACACACTTCCATTTAATTATAAGAGTTTGATTTTCTTTTTTTTCGTCGTGACGCGACGCTCGACGCCCTCTCCAACGCGCGCGCGGCTAAATAACGATTTTAGTTGTAAACAGTGATCGGAGTGGCTCAAAATAAATGGAGGGATGCCTAAACTTTTATGCTATTCTTTTATTATGGCTTATACACGTGGGGGTGACTGGAGGTGGAAATGAGTCGAACCCTATTTAGGGCCCTTTCTTTACCCTATCTTATACAACCTTTTACAATTTTATATTATATAGTATACATTTTTGTTTTTCAGTTTGGTGTTTTGTTTGTTGATATATTTAAATTTAAATTTTTTTGTATGTACATATAATTATATTTTTTTTAATCTAAAACGTAAAACATATTTACATAAGTATATAATTTATGCGCATACAGTTTTTCAATAGGTTCTAATAGTATGCATTATATCGTTATACAGTACGTATAAAAACGGATAAAAAACTAAACTATTCATACATTAGTCATTACTATAGTCTATAGACATAAATAATGACATAAAAACACCAATGTAAATCGATAGTTTTTGTATGTAATCATAACGTGGACGTATCTATTAATAGATGTAAATTTTTTGGACGACATTTTATTGGAATTATATCAATGCCGTGGAGGGGGATCCAGACCCCTTAGAGACCCCTCCCTCGTAAATCTGTAACTCGTTATAAGTACCTGCTAAATATATTATGCATACAAAAATAACCATATCATAATAAATTAAACCACGGTACGCGATAGTTTATCTTTGATGAGTAAAGCTATCTAGGCACACGTTTACGACTACCTAACCGAATAATAATTTTAATAATTCAACCAATATCATCTGAACTATAATTAATTAATCATTACTCACCGGATTTCCCAACGGTATTTCCAATGTTGGTCCAATTATCACCTTCATGAACCTTGTCTTTATATTTATGATGAGCAAGGCCGTAAACAGGTCTGTCTTCCCAATCTCTTCAATGAGCGGTTCTCCGTCTGCCCATGAACGTTTTGTTACACTCGACCTAATTTCGTATTGTCGCGACATTACTGCTCTCGGACAGTCGGACCGGTACTGTCGTCGGTCGCAGCGACGAAGTTTTGCCGCACGTATTACCTAGCGATGGACGACTAGTTTTGACCATCTATTGTCAATCGATAGTTAAAAAAAACCATCGAGTGATTTATCGATTGAATAGATAGTTTTATCCATCGATCGTTTTGAAAACTATCGAACGAATTAACCGATGGATTTCGTTCAGCAGTATCACCCACTGATTTTGACTGTCGATAGTTTAAAAATAACCGAGTGCCTTTTCAACTGAATAGACAGTGTCGATAGTCGATCGTTTTTAAAACAGACCGAGTAAATAGATGGTTTGAAATTATCGAGCATTTCGACAGTTTACACTTGGTGGTGCCCATCACTAGTATAACCAGTGCGGCCGCGACCGTCGTGGAGACCGCGACAACCGTAGACAGTCGTACTTTAGAGCAGTGGCCGCGTAACGTTTTTTGATTCGCAGCCCCCCAATTAATTTTTTTTCGATGGGACGACCCCCGTTCCTACTAACATTACATACGTGTATAACACATATATTTACTGTAATGTATACCAATAATTATAGTCGCATTAATTAAATCGTTAATTTTAGGCAGTTTTATTAAATTTTGTTTAATTCAACTTGCCCAAATTTTTGAATCCAAAGCATAAAAACAAAAAAAAAATTCCCGAAATTACATGATTTACTGAGACCTTCGTGCTTGAATTGTAGACATAATTGAATTATATAAAATTGTATATATATATACATTTTATTCTATAAAAAAATTAAATAATATATTATAATAATAATTGCGTATTTAATCCAAAAATAATTACATTTATAAACTATTAAAAATGTATGTTTTTTTCCGGAGGTGTTAGGTAGAGAGAGGTTAAACTTTTTTTTTTTGCTTAACTACAAAAATATGATACGGCCCTAGAAAAATTTTTTCCAAATTATCCGGCTACCTTAAGTGTCGGTAAGACACTCGTTATCTCGGAAAGTATTAACTTTTTCTGGAATTTGTTTTCTAGAATATTTAAGAAACACGCTGTTCTTTTATATTTATGTTTTTTTTGTCACCCTTATTTTTGAAGGTAAAACCATTACCTACTTTTGATTTTTAAACGGCAACAAGTATTTAAAATTGATGAAGTATTAGGATAGATGAAGTATTAGTTGAATTAAATTTCGGTGTTGAAATTTTTGATTTCCGTTAATCCGTTGACGAGATATTTCACTTTTAAGTTCGGGTTGGCGGAGAACGGCGGTGCATTATTAACACGCCGCGCGCCGCACCGCCACGCAAACGATACTCCGTTACCCTCCTCCTCCTCCTCCAACCCGAACTTTTAAGTGGAATATCTCGTCGGATAATCGACGAATATCAAAAAATGTCAACGCGAAACTTTGTTTTAAACTGATATACTCTGTTTATGGGCTTTTTAAACGTAAGGTTGCCATTTGAAAATGAAAAGTAGGCGGTCGGCGTTTTACTGGCAAACTTAAAGGCGACGAAAAATAACATACATTTTTAAAACTGTAAAGCAGCTTGTTTATTAGATGTTCTGGAAATACAAATCAATACTTTCCTCGGATAACGAGTGTCCAATGGTGGACACTGTCACTCTGTATAATGTATACGGAGAAAACGGGCAAAATACAATAATAATCACTCACCGTTGTTTTCATCGTTTTCCGAACAGACACGGCGCCCTCCACACTGCTGCAGCCCCGGCACTTTCGGAAAACCGCGGACGGGGCCGATGACGGCGCGGACGGACCGACTTTGATCGCGATGGCGTACCGGAACGGCGACGGCGAGCTACCTGCGGCGGCCACGTGTTGACGCGCCATGTCCAGCAGGCATGGGCGCGCCAAACAATACGGTCCGGAACCGCCGGCGGGCGTCTACACCAAGCCGCCGCCGCCGGTGCACGGCAACAACACGTACGGCGGGCGCGCGCATCACCACCAGCAGCCGCAGCAGCAGCAACAGCCGCAACCGTCGTCGCAACAGCAGTTTTACGGCGAGCCCCGGCAGCCGAACAACGGCGCCGGAGTCAGGCCCCCGTCGAGCGGCCATCACCATCACTCGTTGCCCAGGTAATTCGCGTCAGTTGCTCGTCGGCGTACGCGCGCCCGGCTACCGCGTAGTAGTAAAGTGCGCCGTCGACGAGGCAGCACTCGCTCGGGCATAGCGCCCACCGAAACGGCTGATGTTTTTCCGATTTCCCAAAGGGGGTCGTAATAATTACGGCCGTCGAACGCGCGAGAATTATATCAAGCACAGTTATTGTGTAATGTTGCGTTTGAGCGGACCGATGCGATTTCGTATGTACTCCGGGCGTGTTGTTATCGGCGTAATATTTACGACCAACATTAGTTCGGAACGGTTTTTCACGAATTTCCTCCGGCCGTTGTTTTCTCCGCGTGCCGCGTCGGCGCGATAAAAAGCACCACCCGTTATTCATCATCATTTATGATCTCGTTTTTTTTTTTTTTTTTTTTTTTCTATTACGGTCAACGGACTTATAATTTATGTCTTCCTTACGCGCTGTACATTATCCTCGGATACGTATTGTAATATCATGTACAGGTACGATCGATATTGCTGTTTTACATTTAGTGCCGTTTTCGCCAACGGGAGATCGTACGCCGCGAATCGGGCTCCGATAAAAGCGCGAAGCGTAAACGCTTGTGGAAACGGTGGCATTTTGCTTTTTGCGATTTTCGAATTAATCGAGAAAAACTGGAGGTAATTTACAACGACGGGTTTCTCTGTTGATTGCGAATCTTTTTATTATTGCGTACTTTTTCGTTCCGATTCGACGGAAAATAATCGTAAAGACCCGACATTTTCACCGGACACCTATATTGTGTAGTTCCTCGCTACGCGGTACGATTTTCAAAACATAACGGCGATTTTTGATCGATTGTCATTAGCCGTACGATATTTTCGAGGTTTTTTTTTTTTGTTTTTTCTTGAATTTCAATGAAAATCGTAAAAATCGCGGCGTTTCGAAACATGTTTAACGGACCTTCGCTCAGAATCGTATATTCTGGTTACACGTCGCGCGTTCCGGACGAGTAAATCAAACCACTGTAAACGCCATCCCAACTTTCCGCCTACAACTTTACTGCGGTACACGCCCGTCAGCTGCAGTGTGTACAGTATCGGATTTTTTTTATTATTTTTTTTTCTTTTTTATTTTCGTTTAATATTTCAAATTCTAATTTTAACTACGCGGTTCAAAGTGTTGACCGGAAACCGCGTACTTTCACAGTCTTGAAATTATACGCGCGTATTTATATACCGCAGGGCCTCGGCCAAAATAACGAAACGCGCGCGGGTTCGTAGGCGTGACAAGACTTCGTACGCGGACGAGGGACCGTCGTCGCATAAAAATGTAATATTCTCCGCGAATACGACATTATTGCGTGCGATGTTATTCGGCTTTTCGGCATTTGCGAACGATTTTCTCGGGTCTATGATAATAACTTGCATATGAGTTTGCCCGGAAATTCATTAAACGGCGACACGACCACGAGCGTTCATAATGTTTTTGAACGATGCGCACGTGTTTTTTGCTGAACGGAAGTTCCCGTTCTCACATCCATCGACGACGGCTCGTGTTTTTTAAATTTTTTATACGGAATAATCGTCGGGTTTTATCGTATTAAAACATATTCGACCGCAATATTAAATATTAAAATAACGTTTAATAATCTATTATAAACGAGGGGATTCTAGGGGTTCGAACTCCCTGGAACTATTTTCCGTCTACAGTCTTCTTGACTAGAACTAGGCTTTTTGGGCCGATTATTCTCTAGGACAATGGGCCGAACGCTCTCTTGTGCGTCCCTCCCTGCACAGCTGGTGTATCTTGTCCGAGTGTTTTTTTAACGTTCTGAAGACGCTAATTTATTCGGTATTCTCAGTTTCGAATCCGACAATCGCAGAACACGTTTCGTGTTCGCGATGAAAATTGAACCATAGAACTTTATACTTAAGAGGAATCGCACATAAGTTTCGATGCGTGTAGTTTGACCATTATTGTTATTTCTATTAGGTATACCATATTTTAAGTTTTCAAATAATTTTGTATTTATATATGTATATGCGACGAGGATATTGATTTACCGTATACCAAAAACCCCATAATGGTGTTAAAAAACAAAATATTAGACTCGCGGCGAATTGTTCGCGATCCGATAACTGCAATTATGCGCATGGTGCCCGATCAGTGGCGTAAAATTAGAGGTAGACAATGGTCTCCCCCTCCCGTATCCTGGGTAATAAACGTGATCCCCGTCGATCAACGTTTTGTCATAAAAACACGCACGTATAGAACAGTTTTTTCCAAAGAAAATACTATGTACTTTATTAGTACCTACTGTATACTTAATTTCGAGCAAAACACCATAATAATAAATCTACTTTCCCTTGACTTTAGAGCCAATCCGTTTAAAACGTTCTCTCTCGCTTTAATGGACTACATACCGAAATGAAAATTTAAGATTTCAAACAATCGTAACACGAACATTAACCGTTTCCGTCGATTTATTGTTTTTGGTCTCGTTCGGCTTCGAGGACAAATCGGCAATTATTGTGTTGTCTAATATTAACGAGTGTATTGTTTGTTGATATTTTCTTTTTGGTAATTAATAATAAAACTTCGCGCTGTATACCATTGTGGGTTTGTGATAAGGTCGTGATCAGTGGCGGCGCGAAGGAGGTGTACTTGAATCGCAACGAAACGGACAGGTGGGTCGTGGGTTCCGGGGTGTTCAGAAATATAACAAAATTATTATGTTTTCACAAAAAACGTAAAAGAATTTTAGACTGCGGAAATTTGATGAAAAATTCATCAGAGACCCCCCCGAGGGGACTTGGGTTTTATCCCCGGTTTGTCGATTTCGGGGTGCGTTCGATAGGGGCGGGTGGAAAATTCAGTCAGTGATTCGAGATAAAATCACTTTGCGCCGCCACTGCAGATCGTGATAACAGTAAAAGGTGGTCGAATAAAAGGCGATCGGGTTTTTACTTCTGAATTCTTATCCTCGGATAAGAATTCATACAGAATGCATTACGTGCGAAATATAAATAACGACTATAACGATTTGTTTGTTTTTTTTTTTTTTCCCCCCGGACCGCAGGAATGCTTGGAGCACGGACAGACACTCGCCGGTGGCCGGCGGATCGTCGTCCAACAGTTCCAACGAGCGGACGTACGCGGCCAACCGTCGCGCCAAACACCACAGGGTGTACAACAGTCACCGGCAGACCTTGCGCGCCATGCAGCACAACAAGGGCTGCGGGGGCGGTGCCACGACCGACCCGGACGCCCTGTCGTCGGTGACCACGGCCGGCGTCAAGTTCAACGCCGCGCTACAGCAGCCGCACCATCACCAGTCGCAACACCAGTTGCAGCACCACCGGCCGCTGATGACGGCTGCCGCGGCCTGGCTGCCGGAACCGCCGCCGCAGCCGTCGTCCGGCGGCCACCATCACCACCACCAGCAGCAGCAGCAGCAGCAGCAGCAGCAGTCTGTGGCCGCGGCCAGCGCGCAGTACTTGTCGTCGTTACCCTCGCAGAACGCGGCGGCCGGCGCCAGACAACCGCCGCCGCCGACCGCGGCCGCGGCGGCAAACATTCCGGGCGCGCGGTACCACCACCCCCAGCAGCAAACCGCCGCCGCCGCGGTGCCGCTGCTGATGCCATCGTGCGACGTGGCCGTCGACGCTTGCGGCGGCCACTGTCCGAGGTTCGAGAACTTTTGCCATTTCTGCCTGCTGGTGAGTCGGTATATCACAACTGCGCCATTATTGGTTTGACCTGCGTCGGTTAGCTACCGGTTTCGTGTTACGAGATTTTAGGTTCTGAACGAACCGTCAAGTTTACAACTGTTTATTTGTTTATTTATTCGCGAGCAAAATACCGTTCCGGTTTACCGGTGTACCGCCTATTCTGAAACGCCCATTTCCCGGGCGGTACTTTAAGGATGTCGTTTTTTAGATTTTCCCGGGGGAAATTTTTTTTTATTTTCGTTACGATTCAATCGAAAATATTCGTTGAACCTTGAAATTTAGACCGCAGGAAACAAATGTATATTTGCCTTTTCTAGACGTTTTTTTTCAAATTTTCAATACACTTTAACTATGTTAGAGCTATTTATAGATATTTTAATTTTGCGAGATTTTACGGAATTTTTATTCGGTACGTGCTCTGTGGATAAAATTATTAGACTAAACAGAAATGCTTGAACATTTCTACAGGAGGTTTATTATAAGTTGTACTTTGTACAATTGATTGCAATGTAGATTTTTTTTTATAAGAATTTCAACATCAAATTTTGACAAAAATAATAAATATTATACGGCCTTTCGAAACATTTGTAACCGAACACCGCTTAGAATCGTTTTTCGTTTGCAACGATTAATCGTCGCGTACAGATTTTACATTAAATTTCCATTTTTATATCCTATCTTCCCTCGTGTCAAATATGTCAGTCTTTTTTTTTATACCCGCCCTCGACAGTATCGAAACGTTTAACAAACCGTATTGTTTGCTTTAGGCAAATGTATGAGAAGTAAAAGTCGGTCTATCGCCAACAACAATGCTATCCTGCTGTACAATATCTTTGATAAAGGCCTACTCACCCCCCCCCCCCCCCCGTCCGGACGGGCGTATTTTTACCACTTCGCGTCAAAACCACCGAACCGATCGAGAGTGTATGCCGTTTACCCCTCCCTCCCCCTCCCCGTATTCAACTCTTGAACGGCGCCCGGCACCCGACGATACCGATGAACCAGAACGAAACGTAAATGATAAGGCGGCAATATTATAATCGCGATTCTCGAACCACACACGGTGCACCGCACTGCCCATTAAGCGCCGCGATACGTCCGTGCAGGTTTTCGTCGGGTTTTCCTTATTGTCATAAACGGATTCGCCGTGCGTATAGGAAAACCACACCCCTCCCTCCCCCCCTCCCCGCGCGCTCGACCGGGGTAAAAAAAGCGGCCGAACGTGTTTCCGTAAACGTGTATAACCCCTGCAGCTGCAGTGTTACGGCGACCGCGGCACACTCGTTTTTACCTACCCCGGCGATGTCGCCCGCTGGAATTCGTAACGCGGCGGCGGCCGGTTACAATAAAGCAATCACCACAGGTGGCTTCGCCCGCGCAACGACACATTCGGCCGGGGGATTGTTACGCGAGAACACCGGCACCCTCCGTTTAATTTACCGACGTTTTTTCCTTTTTTTTTTTTTTTTTTTTTTTTTTTTTTTTCGTTTTACCGTCGTTTTGTACAGGTACTTGTGTATATAAATCATACAAATAACTATACGGGTATCCGATTGTAACCCCATACGGCGCTGTCCTATAAATAATAATAACAACAACAAAACCCCCCCCTCCTCCCCCGACTGCTCCGCCAGGGGCGGCCCGCGCGTACGTTTCGGATGACAAAATAATACGTTAAAGCGAACTCTTACAGTGTTTAATTCCAATCGAGAACGACGGCGTGTTATTGCCGTTCTACGGCCGACCGTTTATACGGTCGAAACGGTTGTACGCAGTCCGGTTACAGTCCACACATTAGGTCGGTATGCTAACTGCGGCGCTGCAGATGGGGCAGATCGGCCGTTCGATCGGGAAATGAGTAAAACCGATAAAACTCTTTGCCGTCGCAATATTTCGCTTTTCGCGTCGATTATGTACTGTACGAACTACACGCGGGAACGCCAGAGGATAACATTTTCCGTGTTCCCTCCCGCGCCGTGCGTTTCATTCGGGCGGGTTGTTTGACATGGCCACCCCCCCCCCCGTGTACGTTTCGAACCGCGAAACGTGTTTCGCGCGGGTACTACGCGAAACACAATATTGCACTGTACGCCATGGGCGTAGCGCACCCTGGCGAACTGGGAACGACCAAAGTCCCGTCCCCCCCCCCCGGCCGTATTTACCAGACGGATCTTTCGTCACGATGGTTATCGAGAAATAGTTTTTCAGACAACGTTCCGTATCGACCGTAACGTTAAAACAATAATTCTCGGGCGCGCGAATAGTTCAAGTCACACCGGGAGAAAAAAAAAACCGACCGATACCTGTTGACGGGGTGTGCCGCTGTTGCGCGCGTGAAATTGGTTAGGCGGTATACGCATACAAAGTCGTTTCGTTTATGTCTGTAAGCGGAGACAAACCGTCACTGACGGGGGTACGGATCTGAACGAAGTTCGGTTGTACGCATATTTTCAATTACATTCACACATTGTTGTTATTATGAAATGTAACGGGTAGAAAATCAATGTACCGTTTGATCTCGTAATTTGTGAAAAGCCTAAATTTCAGGGAGGGTTCCAGATCCCACGGACATCCGCCCCCCCTCCCCCGGTTACGTAACCGGGGGCAACCGTCTTTTCCGATTTCTTCAAACGTGTTCTATCGACGTACGGTCATTTCTGAAAACAATACTTATGCAAGTATGCAACCGACCAGAAAAAAATTGAAAGACTTGAGCAATTTTTGGTCGGGGGGGGGGATTATAGTACCCGTAAGTCTCCACAAGTGTCCTGCGCGCGGAATTCGAATTCTAGGCTCCCGGTGTGAACAGGGACGCACTCAGGGAGAACTTATACGACGCTTTACCCCGACCCAAAATTAGTCTCGGTAATACCAATTGTGAACACGAATTATTAGCGGTTAATTTAAACTTTTCTCCATCCCCTACACCGTGTAAAATGTCCCCGTTCCCCCGCCCAAAAAACAAAAAAAAACCATTTGTTAGGTTAGGTCATTAGGTTAGGTTTCATCTGTACGCATACGTTACAAATGTACCCATAGGTAATCAATTAATAATTCGTTTATTTGCAGGTGTTTTATTTCTCGGGCATCACGGTGGGTTTCCTGTTGATCATGGCGGCCATAGTGACGACCCGGGACCCGAGATTCTTGTACATCGGCGGCCTGGTCCTGCCGGTCAGCGCGTTCCTGATGGCCGTCCAGTGTCGCGTGCGGCAGGACGCCGACCGTCGGAAACGGCACAGGCAGCACCTGCACCAAAGGTCAAACATCGCCGCGGCGAACAACAGCAACGGCCCGGGACAGCCCGCCGCGTCCACGGTCGTGGTCTCGGCCGAGACCATACCCTTGCAGAACATCATGGTGGCCGGCGGCGGGGCCGGCGACACCCTCCGCCGGCAGTTCCAGGGCAACGTCTACCAGTACGTCGGCCAGAGCGAATCCAACTACACCGGCGGCACGGTCGCCAACGGTCATCATTACGAGGCGGCCCCCGACCAAAAACAGTGAGTGGATTGAATGCGTTCGAATTGACTACGGGCAGTAGGAGTGTGATGCGACACGAATCCGGATTTCGGATTATGAAATCCGAATTTCGAAAAAAAAAAAATCAATTATTTTGATGATATAAAATCTAAGTGTAGTTGTGAAAATTAATCGTGTGTATTATATACAAAACAATATTTATTCAATGTTTCAAAGGGCGGAACCGTTTTCGGCCAGTGCGCTATTTTGGTAACCAACGTAAGTTTTATAATTTAAAAAAAAAAATTAAAAAAACCATAATATGCATACAATTACAATTATGTTTCTTTTATTTTTGATACCCATGATGTTTAAAATAATTAAGAAAAGAATACGAAGTAAAAACAAAATTGTTGGATTTACTTATTGCGTTCGTATTGCATGATTGAAATAAACTGTTTAAACGGTTTTCAACCATCATATTTTGATGACCAATATTTTTTTATGAATCGTTAAAACAATTTTGTTTTTGTTTTTTCGTTGAAAAATATGAAGATACAATTTTAAACTTCTTTTTTTTTTCATTATATCGTACCCTATATGGCTACACGAAATCGAAACAGTAAAGTTACCTGCATAAATACAGAGGAAGCGATCGCCACTGTAATCCTACATTAATGGCCAAAATAGCGTACTGGCCGAAAACAGTTATTATGGAATGGCCGAAAGGGCAAAGGTTCATTTTGGCCGATATGGGTCCCATCCGTTTCAAAATCCAAAATCCGGTATTTTCGAACTTCGACAAAACCCGATTTTTCCCATCACGTATAGGCGGTTAATTCGTTCAACGTTCAAAAATGTACGAAAAATATAACACAAAACGTGTTCTTGTTCTATCGGAATCGATTTGTTCCAAATCGCGCGTTATGGTCATGTTTTCAACAATCTTTTTAACTTTAAACATTTTGGTTTGAAACAACAGATTTTACATTGGGAAACTAGAGAAATAATATAAACATTTTTTCAAGTTTCAATAAATTACTTTTTCGTACAGAAATTATTCGTGCCATCAACTCAAGCTTAATACACATTGTTCAGATTTCTTCAATTAAAGCTTCTATACGAAAAGAACAAACAATTATTTACATATTTAATAAAATTACCAAGGCCCAAGTTAACTTGTTTACCTACCTAGTAAAAATTAAATTTTAGTTTTCTAAAAACGTGTCTTGTATTACACGGCATCATATTACAAATATTTTTAATTTTGCAATTTTGTGTTTTAGAATTGAAGGAGTACCGTGGTGGAGACGAGAAGACAACCGATCGTATCACAGTCGCGCCCCTCACCTGTAACCTAACCCTCCAATGGTTATAATTATCTTCTTTTTTTTTTTTTCATGTATTAAATTTGTGTAATTTTTCTTTTTTTGACACTAATTTTGTTCCCACCCATTGTGCTTGTACATATTATATTAAACAACATTATGTTTCGATTAAAATTGTATTTATATTTATCCTAATTAGGTTAAACACTACATGTTTGGGATATATTTCCCATTGGTTTTAAATGTCTAAAATAAATATCATTGCGTAGTGCTTACAATTTATTTAGAGGATTGGAATGCATCTATTTTTCATATGCTACAGACCAATAAGTGATAGAAAATCATAGTTCTTAACTTCTTCATATCCAATTTAAATTTTTTGAGTACCATGTTAGAATATCTGTTGACACATTTTGTAGGTTATTCAGTAAGTCGATTTACAGTGTTTGAAAATTCCATGAAATAACCATATAACATTTGTATTCAATTACGCGTATCAAATTTTAAATCAAAAAATTGACTTCCTAAATAACCTAGACCAGAGGTTCTCAAACTTTTAATTTCGCGAACCACTCATATGTATTACGGTTCTGTCATGTACCACGCAAAACTAAAAATTGAACAATTCATAATGTTTTAATATTTATTTCAAAAACAATAAGAGTATAAGAGAGTAAAATACTTCAATATAATATTAATATCAAATATAGTATTTGATCCATTAAAAAACATTTGTACGAATGTTGATTAATTTATTTTCTGTACTGTTACCATGCGACCTTCTGCGTACCAACATGTTGCCTACTTTGGGAAGTATGCTTAATTTTCCACTTCTTATTTGTCCCTAAATGGACACCAGGCAGAAGATTTAAAGTACATCTCATCATTTAGGTGGTCATTAAAATGTAAAAATATTGAAGAGATTTTGGAAAACCAATTCAAACACACTTAAAAAAAGACATTTGAATCACTTATATTTTAGTTAAACTCTATATAATCAAAGAGCGGCCAACCGACTACTGCTTTCTTATTGGTTACATATCATGTATAAATGTCATACTTTGTCCAAATGTTAAACAGTCATTAAAATTAAAGTAAGATACGCGCAGCATTTTGTGGCGGTTTCCCTGCTCTTCATTGTTCGAGTAGGTCTAGTAGAAAATTGAGTAACAATTTTGGACAGAATATAACGATCCCCAGATGAGAATGATAACAAAGATGGCTTTTTTTTGGTTATATAGGTTTGATACAATTGTCGTGTAAATATTTTAATAGTTTAAAAAACTACCTAGTAACAGCAGTAAATCGTGATTTTTAGGAAAGGACAATGTGGTGTTATGTCCTTGAAACCAAAAACCTTGTTGTGACCACAAATCTCATAAAAAAAATTAAATAATTATTTTTAAAAAGTACAATAAAATACGAAAAATGTGTCTCTAAACAATTGAATAAAGAAAATAATAAGTTATAAACATTGACCTTGAAAAACAATATTGGTACAGCAGTATAATTATCGATGAAATACAAGTGTTGTTTGCCTTTGGATTTTATCTGATAAAAATATTATTTTAAGGCGAGAATATAAATGAAATGTAGGCCAATAAATATTATTAACAACAATGATCTATGCATTTGATCAATGTGTACACTCCATGAAAAAATCTTTATTTATAAATTATATTGACATGTAAAAATAAAATAGTTTTAAAAAGTATGTCTTGGCCCTTAGGTTATTATATGAAATACAATGGTTGTTTAATTAATAATTTAGACAGATTAGAATGGTTAAATATTTGTACAGTTCACACTTCACAATACACAGTATTTTGTTTAAAAATTGTACACTACTATATGAGTAACTTTTTGTGAAATGGCTATTAAAAAAAAAAAAAAAATCTATTAAATGTATAGGTAATTACAATACATAATAAAACAGACAAATAATATACTAAAATTTAAATAGAGTACACATTCGTAAAATAACTAAATTTATAAAAATTTAATTTTAATTTTAATAAAATACACATTATGTATTAAGTTGAACATATTTTATACCTATTTAATAGGCATTTAAATACAATGTTGTCATTATTTTATCATTACAGTTTATCGGGTAATAACAATGAGTGTTACACTTAAAATATATCACGGTGCCACACAAAGGTTTATCGATTTTAGAAAAGACTAATAATTCTACTAAGCAAATTAATAAATGTGTACGGGAACAATAAGGCTATGATTTGTTTATTTATATTACATACGCAATTAAATATTTTCTTATAATTCAAGAAATTTGTTTTCTGAAATCAAATAGGTGTAAAGCTTACAAAATTAATATGCGTACATTGACACGGTTGGAAATAATTTCTATACGACTGAAAGCGTAAAACAAAACATTAAGAGGTGAAAAAAGCTTAATTATATTTTAAAATAATTAAAGATTTATAAGTTATAAAATACTTAATGTCGAAACACAAAAATGGACTCGTCAAAGATAATAATAATTCAAATGGTAAGTATACAAAAGTACATATAAATGAGGTTAATCACATCCATTGTTGTTACGGTATGATATCTTATACAATATTATACACTTAAAATAAATGCTGTTGTTGAACACTCGTATTATTAAAACTATAATTAATATTATAACATTATGTCAAAATTCGTTATACAAATTTAATCATTATTTTATTCGTTAATTATGATTTAAGTTACATTTATTTTACACTTGGAAACATGCAAAAGTTTAACAATAATAAAACGTATCACTTACAGACATAATAGAAACTTTATAATTTACTCACGTATACATAATAAAAATTATCAAAAAAAATAATAATCGTAATAATAATAATGGAAATCACAACTTTACACACACACATAAATATATGTTTATATATATATATATATATATATAAAATTATTATTATTATTTTTTTTTTTTTTTTAGTACCATTGACCACTGAAGATAATAATAATGAAAATACAATAAAAATTGTTAATAAATAAATACAAATATTGTGCACACTGAGCATCAGTAGTTAGGCAACTTAAAACAAAATATGAACAATTTAAAAATCGATAAACTGTCAGATTTTGGGTCGATTAGTCACTTCATCTGATCCAGACTATAAACGGATGAACATATGGAAGGTGTCAAGTCATCGTGTAACGCGAGTGGCGCAGTCCAGCCACCGCATGATTGTGCTTTATTGTGGACAGGTGTTTGTGGAGAATAGTAGTGATTGTGAACTGTGGGAATGTCATATCTACAAAGAACAATAACCATGTATCAAGTATGTGTGTGTTAGATGAACCTTGTTTTGTGTAAAACATAAACTATTATTGGATGATATTGGGACATCTCACTTGTGATAATAGTCATTGATGCCCGATAGAGAGTCAGTGAAATTGGCCTCAAGTCAAGCCTCTTCACCGGAAAGCGGCGAGATGGGTACATGCGTGCGGACTGCCGCTACCGGCGGGTTGCTTGTGACTAACATGTGATCTCTTTCATCATTGCTATACACACAACACAGTAAAAAAAAAAGAATATTTATAACTATTTATATATAACTTTATAAATAATAATAATAATAAAAAAAACAAACAAACAACCTAATAGTCACAATAACCATTTTAAATAATTTATTATAAAACAAAAACAAAACATTTGTTCTTATAAGTTATAGCACCAATCAATGGTAGATATCTAATTATATCGATGAGCTTAGACAACAATAATCTAACATATACAAAAGCCAACAATTTATTGTTAAGCTAACAAAAAAAATAAAAATACATATAATTTACGTATATTAAACAGTATCAATATCACTAGTTATTCAGTTCTTTGCTTTCTTACCATATGTGTTTACAAAGAATAATAATAATAATAATAATAATAATAAAAAAAAAAAATACAAGGTGTCCTTCAGAGTTTATAAGAATGAGTCATATTCATAAATGACAAAAAAAAAATATATAAAAGTTAAACAAAATTATAAATAATTCATAATGTTACTGTTCGATAAATGAATAATAGGTAAAGCTAATTATAAATAAATAATATTATTTAATATTTAACATTATTGTCAGATTTTGGATTATTAAATATAACATTGTTCACATGTCGGTCTATGTTAACAAAGTAATCGCCAAATAACATTTAATTCACGCAACGAGCACACGTATAGAAACACAAAACACTTACCAATCTTTGTTATCGTTCCCCATTAATTTTCTAGTTTCGTCTTCTTCGATTATAGTTGGCGGAGCTTCTGAAGACGCGTTGTACTGTGCAGACGCCATTAAAAGATCCGTGGACGGGTTCAACGTAAGTACCTGCACAGATCGAAAAGCACAGTGGTCAATATTTTATTCGAAAAACATTACAGTCCGATAGTTTACGAATCGGCACACGTACCTGTCCGTTGGATGACTGAGATTCCATTTGTCGCGCTTTGCTACTGAAACAGGGGCAACTCTCTTTGTCCTTGATGTATCGGAAGTAGCCGATCAACAGGACGACGCCGAAAACAAAGCAGAAAGAACCGATGACCAAAAACGCAATATCCCCGGTGTGGTTGTCCTTTGCGTCGTCGGAGCGCATATAGTTCGTGGTGATGGACAGGAACATGAACACGCCGACGGCGATCAGTATCCAGCTGATCAAAATGAACGACCAGTGGAACCATCTCGGGTTTCGGATCTGATTCAGGGTGCGGTTAATGAAGCCGTTGGACGGCTGCGACCATTCGCTCTGTTGTTCGTAGCTGACCGTGGTCGGCTGATACACTGGACCGGACGCCGGCATTTTCGTTTTTACGTTCGAACTGCTAAACACCTACACCTGCGGGAGTGTAAATGTTCAAACTATTGAGTTATCAATACCGATCGACCGCGCGTAAAATAGCGAACGCTCGTTAACGTTAACGTCGTGCGAACAAAGGCGTTGCGCTTCACTGTTACGGTGGAGACGCGCGTCGGAATTAAAAATTTACGGGCATCGTTCGTTTCGTTTATCTAACGAATGCGTTGGCCAATTATTACGAGCGCACGAGCGATATCGGTGCGCGGCGTATTATTATAATATTCGCTATTATCGCGCTCGGGGGTCAACACAATTATCGCGTGTCGCAGCCACGAAATAACAATATTATCGAGAGACGTGCGCACCGACTGCGCACAGACCACGGGTAAACGTTACTCGCGTCGCAGAAAGAACCCGGGTAAATTATGGTATTCGGCGATGCCGGTGCGCGACGGTAACGCGGCACAAAAACAAAACGAAATAAACGATAGAGGGGGGGGGGGCAAACGAATTACGGGCGCGTGGGGTTCGTCGACAGGTGTCCCCCTCCGTCCCTAAATGACCGATCGGGCGCAGTTTTACGGCGTGCCGCCCGATCGCGGGGGGCAAAGCGAAGCATTGTGCGCGCGGAAGGAACCGAGTGGGACGCGCAGGTGTGACGGACGGGGCACAGGTGCAACAGATGGCGAGGAACGGCCGTCGGTCAAAGGGTTGGCCCCGTTGGCCGACGCTCGCGGATCCGACGGGACCGGGTCTCCCCCGGGGGCGACCGGAAACTATTATTAGTGCGGCGCGTACCTGGCTGCGTAGGCGGCTGTCCGCTGGATCGGCGGCTGGCGGCGTGGAACGAGACCGGCCTGAAGCGAGGACGACGACGGCCCGGGGTGTTGTGCTTGCGCAGCGGGCCCTGAGCAGCTCGGCGGTACTGGTAATCGTTTTCGATCGCGGCGTTTGCGGGCAGCGGTCGCTTCGGGGTGGCAGCGGCAGTGGTGCGGTTAGGTAGTACGGCAGTCTGCTCGCGGCGTTCACTTTCACCGTATTTGTTTAGTGGGTTTTTTTTTTGATTCGGCGCAAAAAAAAAACCAAAAACAAAAGAACGTCACGGCGGAAATCGGACGGGTAACGCGATCGCGAACGACGTCTACGTGAACTGGCGGTGTCGAACTGAGTTTATCGTGAAAGGAAAAAAGAAATATACAGAGAGAAAAAAAAAAAAAACAGTCGCACCGACGGCGATAATACGACGGCGATAGGTACGGTGTCGGACTACGGAGGTACGGCGAGCGAGTGAAGAATAATATTTGATTTTTTTTTTTTTTTTTCCCGAGCGTGATAAAACTCGGCGGCGACCCGCTCCAGTCGTCGCGCCGCACTCCCCGCTCGGGGCGACAGCCGCGCAGTGTGACCAACCGTTCGTCGGTCGGCGGACGCCGTCCAACGGTCGTCGTCGGCCGCAATAGGATATTATTACTGCAGGTACGATTGTAATGCCATTAGGTTCGGCCGCGCGTACGCGGCGTCGTTCTGCCGTGCCGTCCGCGTCCGACGGTTTCGCAATGATTTTGCGATTTCGACGGCTACGTCTGCCGGCGACCGGTGGGGGGCGGAAACCCGAAGTCGCGCTCAACAACAACAATAACGTAATAACCGATCGGCAGGTATGAATACGTCTTGGCGTTTGCGGACGGGCCCAGGTGCGAACGGCCGACGACGCTGGAACGCCCGTCCGGTCGATACGGGCCGCGGTGGGAGAGCCGAGAGCCCGTCCGCGACCGGACCAGACGCGAGCGCGTGGCAGGTGTCCGTACGCTACCTACGCTAAATAATCGCGCACACGTTTTTTCATTTTTCTCCCACCGACGACGACGGGTAGTGATCGTATCGATTCGCCGTCGCCCGTAACCTTCGACGATCGGCCAATAAGTGGCGACGTAAAACGATAATAACAGGACGTATTGCGCGCGGCGGCGTCTCGCGATAGTCCGCGTTATTGGCGCGATTGTCAATCCGCTTCGATTTCCTCGTTCGCCGCCCGGTCGCGGTTCTTTCGTTCCTCGCTCGTCGCGTCTCGCGCGCGCCCTGCCGTCGCGTAGGCGTCTACGCGTCACGGAAACAATATTCGTATTCCTTCCCCTCCATCCCGCCGCCACGTACGATCCGATTCGTTCGGACGTTCGATCTCGCGCGCCACGACAAAACGCGTCCGTCAAAAACCGACGACGACAGTTCCTCGCGTCTGCCGATTTTGACGGCCGCGAGTTTTCCGTTATTTTTGCCGTTCCCGGATGAACGCGCGTTCGCCGCTGCGCAATCGGCGGCGTAGCGAACCGCCGTTTTCAGAAGCGGCCGCCACTGAATTTCGCATGGCTGGCGGGCGGCGTCTCGTGAAATCTGAACGATTAAGTGGCACGTACAGCTGTTATCACGGCTACAGGCCGCAGTAGTGCCGAAATCGCCGGATTAGGGCGGGGCGACGGTCGTGGGCGAAACACCGATCTGCTTCTTCGCGCGTCGTTCGCGAGTTCGCGACCGACGCCACTGATCGGCGTGATCGCGCCGAAAACGGTACGAAAAACCTGTCGGTTCCGAACGCAAACGGCGCGTGCCGATGTACACGAATCGACGCCGATCGCGCACATTATCGGTGGAACAGACACCGCGCACGCCGAACCGTTTGATTACGTGTATAAGAGGACGGCGCGTATTCCGTGGCATCCGCCGTCTTGTAAACGCGCGGCAAAGCAAAAACGCGATTGCGCAGAACTCGCTCGATTTCCGGTTTACAGCGTACAAAACGGCCGTATTTAAAAACCAAAAGAGAACGACGTTCCGGTGGGCGAGGCGTTGCGTATTTTCCGTTTTCTCCGAACATAACGGTCAATTTACCGCGTGCGTGTGTGAACGACGTTACCCGTTCGACGTGTTTTTTTTTTTTTTTTTGATTCTTAACGAATTGAAAACCAAACAAAAATAACAACAACTTTTCCGACAAAGACGCCTCCGGGATATTGTTCTTTATATTGGTGTCATCGCGGGCGCTTTTACCCGTAAAACCGAAACCGACCGAGTCCCGTGCAGCCCGCGCGAACGTGGGCTTACCGTACGTCACGCGTTCGCAAGACGGAAACGGAATGCACCGTGCGCACGGGGGTAACGGCGTCCTCCTCTTAAGGAGACGCGCGAACGATACAATAACTGCCTTTAATCTACCGCCTTTGTTCGACACGGTTCTCCGGGGCGGAAAAAGTCATCGTGGAGGAGTGTGGTTGGGGTATGTAATTAAGCGTATAATTACAGTCGCGAGACGCGCCGGCACGTTTCGTGCATCACACACGTTGTACGTTTTCGTTTTATTATTATTTATTTTTTCCCTCCCCCCGGTAGTGGCCCTTGCCCGCCGCGCCCGTGGTTCAAGCAAAAACGTATTGAGCTCTACCCCCGTCCCCAACGTCGCAGCGCGCTTTAAATACGTTGTCCGGACCTTTTACACGGCTCGGTCGGGTTCCCCCTCCCCTCCCCGTCGGGCGTGCCGACGTCGTGAGCGCGCGAATAAAATATAGAAAGTCGTTCGTGGCTTCCGTCGCCGTAACAATAAAAATCATGGGTAGGCATAGGAAAAATAAAAATATTCGGGTTCGGCTCTCGGAGATGTTTTCATTGTACACCGGGGCGGCGGCGGCTATTGTTCCGTTCGGCATTAAATTAATCGAATCGCAGTCTATTGTTGTTCGGTAGCCGTTCGCGTAAAATGATCGCAGACTGCGTTCTACACATTGTGTTTTTAGACGCGTACGCGTTTTGCGGCCGTTTCACCCGCTCGGCCGGGTCAACGCGAACCGACCGAATCCTCGATTATTATAATTTAGGCAGTATCTGTTGGTTTTTTTTTTTTTTCTATGCTACTTCCGTTACACGGTTCGATTTTCGTTTAGACTCGTAAAGTTACGTACAATTACAAATAATGACGCGGGCGCGGCGTACGGCCAACGTGTTCGGACACTTGGCTGGCCCGTCGCAAGAATGGCCCAGTCCTAGAGACGAAAACACAACGAGTAACGGACGCATTATGATGTTCAATACGTTCCGTTGACATCCGCAGTGGTCTGTCGGACGGGCCCCTCCCCCCCCCATCCCCTTACCAATATACTCGGATTCAACGCTGAGCGCATCTCGCAAATGGTCGCGAAACCCACAGTCCATTGGTAATAATAGAAACGTGAAATCGTAAATCGGAAACGAATACCGGCGGGCTGCGAGACCTAAAACCGGACAGCAGTCTGCAGTGAAACGGGGCGCCCGAAACCCCCGTTATGCCGTTTCGCGCATCTCGCACCCGTACATTAATAGAAAGTGCCGTTTTCTGTCGTTAACTCTTTCGAACCGCGCGGAATCGGTTTCGCCGACGCGGCGCGGTCCCCTCGTAGCCGACGGCTAGTGCCTTACGACACTGAACGCTGACGGCCGAGTACGACCCGACACCACTGTATACAAATCTTCGGGATGAGATTCGGCCGATGGCGATGCGCGTAAAACCGCGTGGAACTGTCGACAAAACTTTGACAATTCACGACGCTGAAATCGATACAGTAATAACGTTCAACGTGCGATTGTTCGGCGGCGCCGTATCGAATTTAAACGGCGGGTGTACCGCCCAGCGTCGGTGTAACAGTTCAGTATAATGCACCGTACACTCGACGATTAATGTCACGAGAAATACGCGTAGCTATTAATTGTAATAATAATGACGTTCCGAACAACGCGAACTAATCTGTCCCTAGACCGCCGTAGCGTACTGTGTGATTGCGCTAGTAAATGTAGATAATCATTTAATTACAACTATGAAATTATTAAAACGGTTAATACTCGGGAATAATTATATTAAATAAAGATAAAATAAAAAAAAAAATTAAAAAATGCGTCGTCGCCTGGAATATTATGATGAGAGTGCACTGTAGACGACCGGTTTCGAATTATAATAAATTCATCGTCGGGTATATCACAGTCAATATGCGAAAAGCGACTGAATATCAAAAACTAAATGAACGAATACGTGGAAAAAAAAATACAAATTATACAAACTGACCGTTTTGCACGGAAAAAAAATGTATTTTAATAGGAGAGATTGTTTAAAACGGGTTATTATTAGACACGGGTACGTTAAGAGATATAAAACATTTGGTTATTGATAATTATCCGAAATGTATTGACATAAGATATTATTTTTAAAATCGGTTCGTACGTTTAAAATATTATTAAAATTATTTTTCTTTATTTCATCGTGTATAAGCAATCATTCTAAAACCGGATTAATGTGAACGTTATTTTGGGCATTTAATATCCCTGAGTCTGTATTGATATCAAAGCATATGTTATTTTCTAAAACATTTTAAGCGAAATTCGAATTAGGGACAGTCGTTTTATAATTTCATTTCAGAAATGTGTTTTTTATATTTCATTTTAAAATTTCTATTTGTCTTGCCTGTATAAAATGTATTACAGTTACATTAAAGTATTAAGGTATTATTCATACCAGCATTTACAAAAGAAGGGGGATTTTTTTTTGTGAAGTTTTTTGTTCTATTGTTTATACGTCTGATTAAATTGTTATTAGTCTTAAGAGCGATTTTTACATTATTTGTATGATAGTTTTACGGTAAATAAACATTAGTACCTAATACGTTTCTAAATCTCCAGCGACGGCTATACTCCTCGTGATTTAGGTTTAATACCGTGTAGAGGCATAAATACTAGAGGTAGGTATAAATTACTATTTATTGCCACACAAACGAAAAATTAGTTCGGCGCCATTGCAATTTTTAACTGTTACGAATTTGGGTAGTGATATTATGTGTCGTACGCGATCTAACCGAAAATCATATCGAATTACGGGATCATTCATTATAAATTTATTCTGGTTATTTATTTTTACAATCGCAAGAATAATTCGTACAACACTTTAGTAATGATAATGCATAACAATACAGGTAATTTACTTACTATTTTTTTTTTTTTTCATCAAAAAATGTCGTATTCATGTCGGTTAGAAAATCGTCGAATATAGTATTTAAATGACGGACGTATTTATCGGCGCCACTCTTCTTTTGAGAAGTGCCTTTCAAGTAAAGTTGAAGTTTCACCTATTACTTTTATGTCATATTTTTTTTTTCACGATACCCCAAAAACCCTCGATAGATTGTGCACGAGCTCCGTGTATTCCCAGTTCTCGGTATTATTTTTATGTTATCGTAATTAATTGGGTTATAAAAGTATGTAAC